GCAGACCATTTTTTCGTTTTTTTTTGTTAATCTAAACTGTAATATATTTATTTTTTGGTGTTTTTTTTTATTCTTTTGCTTCTATATATTTTATCTCAAGCCTATGTTGTTAGGGGATGTTTTGGTTTATTTAGTAGTATAAAAATGCACTCAAGCAATTTCCTTTTTTTTTTATAAAAAAGTTAGCCTGTAAACTCTGTAATATTGGGGTGCTTACAAATATGAATGACGTTTTTTTATTTTTATTTTTATATAATAGAAACTTGACTTTTGTTTTAAAGGTAAAAAAAAAAAAAAAAAAAAAAAAAAACCTCTGTTTTAAAAAAGCTGACATTTTCTTTCAAAAAAACAATTGACGTTAAAAAAAAATTATTAAGATGGTAAGAAAATTGTCAAAAAGGGTAAAGTTGGAAAAAAAAATTTGCTTGTATAATGCATTAATGACATTGTTTTAAGTGTTAGGAGAATGACACATGTCATGAGGAAAATGGAGAAGGTCCAAAGAAGAAAGTTAGAGAGAAGGTTGCTAGCATTCCCCTTTTTGTTTTGCCTTGTAACAAATTCAAACTCCCAAAAGGAATTCCAAAAATCAGTCTGTGTGTCTTCTTAAACAAAACCCAAATCTTGAGCTTCAAGAATAAAGTTAATATTTGACTAAACTTTCGGGTTGGCACTAGGTTTTGGTTACGGTTGTTATTAGAATCTAATTAATCTAACACATGGGTTTAGTAATAAATAAATAAAAATTTTGTTACCAAAAGATACAATTCTAAATACTCGTCGTCTTTATGTCCTCGAAGATAAGATAATCGCAGCAGGCCTTGGCTTCTGGCACTTATATCATAGTCAAGAAACTCGGACAAAAAAATTGAAACCAATGAAGTGGAGACATTTGTTCTGGATTGTCAGATGTCGATGGCAAAAACCAAAGCAAGAATCATGTGATGTGCATAATGATAAACTATATAAGCTTGGTGATAATGATAAATGAACCAAGAGTAGTCATGACCAGAAAAAAAAAAATTAATAATAATAATAAGGCAAAGGGTAGATATCAATCAATTTACTTCTTTTCTTAAATTAACTACATCTATTTGCATCATTATAAGGGGCTTGTAGTTTAGATTTGTGCCAACATTTAAGACTAAAAGGAAATAGGATCTTGATATGAATACCGTTTGTTAACCAGTGTTTTGGAAATTATTTTTTTGATAATTGAACGTCATTATAGGTATATTTAATATGCATTTCTCTATTCCAATCCTTTAAATCCTCATACCATTCAGGAAATTGAAATAATAGTATACGGACTATATTTTTAGCTATTATCAATGAAGGTAATATAATATATTTTCTAAGAATTGATTGGGTTACTAACAAAAAACCTCTTAGTACTTGAAAAAATCCTTAAAATCTGAATATTTTGATTAAGGTTTGTTAAACGCTCTTCTTTTTTATTGTTTTCTCTCCACTTACGGTTTGTTTAGGTTTATTAAATTTTTATTTATTCTCTCTATTAAATTTAATGGGTTTTGACATGTATTATGAGTTTGAATTTTAGTATGTATTATGGACTTTGAAATCCTGACTCCGTAATTGGTGGAACCTCACCTGTTCTCGTTATATTATCTGCATGTGTGAATGGGGACACGAAATATTGAACAATCGAGGACATGGAAATATTTACAGCACGTTCGGAATCTGCATGTGTGAATGCCAGTGGGGACCTAATTAATTTGTTTGTATGTACGTCCATTACAGAATTTTAAAATAAATAAAAAAATTCAAGGGCAGCTGCATGCATATCTTCCACAAAACCATAATCGCCCTTGTGCTTCTGCCACATGGCTCTGTCGACAGACATGTCTCTGCCATAACTGGATGGAAATATTTACAGCACGTTCGGATTCTGCAGGTGTGAATGCCAATGGGGACCTAATTAAATAATTAATTTGTTTATTTCTACTTACGTCAATGTCACTTTAATCAAAGACATGTCTCTGCCATACCTGGAAGGAAATAATTTTACCCTTTTTTGGACCATCTTGAACCCTGGCATGCGCCACTAATGCCATTGTCACTTTAATCAAACGTCCAAAAGGGTACCGGAAACTTATCCATTAAGTTATATGAAAGTGATACAACAGGCTATAGGAAAACTTCAAGGATATGAAGATATCGGTGAGCTGTAAAATGAAAAGACAACTGAAGAACGATCACAAGATCCAATAACTCACCACGATTGGAGCCAAACAAAACAAAGATATGGGATTTGGATCGTATATGGGTTTTAGAAATGAGTGGAGGAAGTGTTGAGTTCTAAAACTAGCTAGGTTTATTCATTTGGTGATGTGTGCTTCTTCAAGATTTGCTAGATGGGTGTGGACAGCAAAATTATTAAAATTTTAAAGTCCTGTTGGGTGTCGAAAGTTTGCTGTAGGTAGGTGGGAAGAGTTAATAACCAGCAGGAAATAGGTTAAAAAAACGTTTGCAAATAAGGTGTCTCAAATTCGAACTTTCATAACAATATTTGTGTATGAGAAATTCTCTTTCACTTTATATCGCTTGTACTAAAAATAAAAAGAAGAAGAGGAATCAAATTTGAGAGCAAAACTTTTTGGTCGAGAAACAAAGCCATATCTAGACAACAATTAACGTCAGAGGAGATTCGAGCTCTCATGTCACACATGTACAGTCTTGACAATTTTACGTCCTCTGAGAATGATGGTTGTTAGAGGAACCAAACGAAACAATGAAAATGGAAATTATATTCAAGGCTTAATTGGTTCCCTTCCGTTCTTATTTTCATTCTCGTTTCTATGCTCATTTCAATTGATTCCAGCAATCAAGCATTAACAAAAGAATCAAGGATATTGGTCTGAAAGGCAAATATGCTTCCAATTGATGTGGTTTGGTGAAATTCACTCAATCATGCATCTCTAAAAGTTCGAAAATTTAATTTTAAAAAATCTAAAAGTTTTTGGGTGTGACAATTATAAACCGTCAAATAGGGTTACTGATTCAGATAACATAATATGAGTATAGTACGAGTTGATATTCTATTTTTTAAAATGTGAGCATTCAATCCAAAAGTAATTGACAATAAATGGAGAGGCCCAAGATTTTTTAAGCTCTTAAAAACTTTCATTTTCTAAACACTCTCAATTCCATGAACCTGGAGCCTATAATATTTAACAAATAAGTACATGTACTTATAGTATAAATGGTTTTAGTGAAAAATGTTGGTTAACGATCGAAGCACCACCAAAGAATTTCTCATCTAATTTCCTCTTCGGATAAGGAAAAGTTGGACGTGTGATCACAAGCTTTGGATAGGACTTTACAAACTTTGCATATTTGAATCGAAGTTGGAATTTGCATGTTTGAATGCCAATGGGGACCTAATTAATTTGTTTGTATGTACGTCCATTACAGAATTTAAAAAAATACATAAAAAAATTCAAGGGCAGATGCATGCATTCTTCCACAAAACCATAATCGTCCTTGTGCTTCTGCCACATGGCTCTGGCGACAGAAATATCTCTGCCATAATTGGAAGGAAATAGGGATATTTTGGAAAAAGCAAAAGGAGAGAGAAAAATTTTAAAAGAAGCAAAAATGGACAAAAATGCCCTTATTTATTTTTAGATTTCCTAAGGAATCAAATACATTTGCATGTCTTTAATTTGAAAGTTGAGCGGTTTTTTTGTCTTTTTTGAAAAAACTTTGTTCCACGCGTTCACTTCAGATTTCAGACTCCACAGAGATTAAATTATTAAAGTGATACAACATGCTATACTTTACCTTCTTTTAATGGATATGAAGCCAAAAAGATTGGTGAGGCGTAAAATGAAATAAGAACCACCTCCACGATTAGAGAGGATATGTATCATGTTACATGAAGAGGTTTAGAAATGAGTGGAGGAAATGTTGAATGTAAAACTAGGTTTATTTGGTGATGCGTTGTCCTTGAAGATTTGCTGGGTGTTGAGATTAAATTATTAAGTTTTTAAAATCTGCTGGGTGTATAAAGTTAGTTTGCTAGGTGAGAAGAGTTAATAATAACCGGAAGGAAATAGGGAAATAAAAGTATAGTATTAAGATGTCAGCAATCTCAGGTTCGAACTCTAATAATAACAAAACCATATATATAATGTAGAATGGAATTCGAGCTCTCGTGCTACACATGTACATGTCTTGACAATTTGCACGTATTAGTCTCTGAGAATGGTAGGTTGTTAGTGGAAGCAAACAAAACAATGGTTGTGCATGATACATTTATATATGTTATGTGCAAAAAAATTCTTGGAATGGTTGTGCATGATACATGTGTACATGTGGTGCACATGGCTCTGGCGACAGACATCAATGGCATTATCACTTTAAACCAAAGGGTCAAAAGATTTCAGACCCCACAGAGATTAAATTATGAAAGTGATATGAAGAAGGAAAAAGATGAGGTGTCAAATGAAAAGCCAATTGAAATAAGAACAACCTCCACGATTAGAGTGGATATGGATATGTGAAATAAAATAGGGTAAATATTCAATTATGCTTAAATATGCTTATATTATTATTTTTCCCTAATATAGAGGTATCTATACAAGTATAGGGATGTGTTGACCTTAAATAAAATATGAAATACATCTAAATTACAATAGAAAATAAATTTCTATTACAATATGACTAAATAATAATTGTTAAATAAGAGCATCCACAATGATACTCTCTATTTTTTAGCTAAAATTTGGCTAAGAATATAAGAAAGCTATTTTAGGAGCTCTCTAAAAAATTTCAACTCCAACCATACTCTCTAATTTAGAGAGTCATAAATGTTATAATTCTTTTTTTATTGGTCAATCTCTATTAAAAAATAAAAAAAAAATAGTTAGCATTAAATAAAGGTTTGAAATATTCATTAAATAAAGTAGCATTAAATTATAGGGAACCACTAGGAGTCCTTTCTCTCTTCTCAGATTTAGGAGCTCCTAGAGGACTCCCTATTTTAAGAGGTGAATAAGGAGCGTGGTTGGAGTTGCATTTTTACGATTCCTCCCTAAAATTTGTCTAAGGAAGTAGTTTAGGGAGCCTATTGTGGATGTTCTAACCAAAATCCTAACTAAATAAGGACTTGCCAACACTCTCTCACAAATTGGGACAAAGATGTTTCGCATGCCCAACTTGACAAGCGAGTATAGAACACCATACTTCAGACAAACAAATTGTAAGAAAAGGTCTTTTTGTCAACCACGAGTGGAACAATTGACAAACCAAAGCAAAGATTGCAACGGAAATACAAGAGAAAACCCAAACCCTATGAGCACGGCAATAGATAAGGCAGAACACAGAAACTCTGTGAGCGTGACAGTAGATAAGGAAGAACACAGAAATTCTGTGAGCACGGCAGTAGATAAGGCAGAACACAGAAACTCTACAAGCACGGCAGTAAATAAGACAGAACACAAAAACCCTGTGAGCATGACAGTAGGTAAGGCAGACCGCAGAAACTTTATGAGTATAGCAGCAGATAAGGAAGAGTGCCAGGGGAAATAAGATTACTTCTTAGTGTTGGTGCATGACTTACATCACTAAGGCTAACAACACTATCATGCTTATTGATCTTCACTGTTCTCACAACCAAAACAACACAACTTGTTTTGTTTCCCAGCAGAATCTTACTACCCTTCATTTCTTCATATGTATCAAATACACTCTTATTTGAACACACATGATAAGAGTATTTGGAATCTAAAATCCAAACTAAAGTAGAATTCTTACCCAAAGAATTTGCAATGACTTTTCCTTTACGCTCCTCATCCGTAATCGTCAAAAGTTCATCATTGGTTGCGCTTGAACTTTCGAAATTCTTCATCTTGTTATACTTCTCCTTCTATACTGGAAAAATCTACTTCCAATGGTCCGTAAACTAACACTTGAAGCACCCTTCATTGTCATTGAATTTAGGATTCCTTCCATTGCTTTTCTTGCCTTTTCGCTTGCTTGAACGGCTTCGCTCTCCCGTCCATGTTAATATACAAGCACCTTGAGAGCTATCTCCAGAACTTTGAGTCAACTTGTGATGCGTCATGTCTTGCACCACTTCCTCAAAATTTAGAGTACTCTTTTTGATCATCAGCATCGTCCCGAAGTGTTCATATGACAGAGGCAAAGATGCCAACAACATCAATGCCTCATCATCCGTGCTATAAACCACGTTCACCTTTTGCAAGTCCGCAATACTCCTATTACAGGTGCTAAGATGCTCCATGAGATTTCCACTCTCCTTCATCCGAAGATTTCGGAGCTCTTTCTTCATGAAGCGTTTGTTTGATAAATACTTGCCTTCAAACATCCTTTTGAGCTTTTCCTGTGTTTTCTTTGCGGTGTCTTCCATCACCTTGATGGACCCCCTAGCCAACTCTCTAAGCAAACCCTCTCCTCCTTTGTCATGTTTTCAGGCCTTTTCTCCTCGCCTACCAAGATAATGGTTGGACTTTTCTGGGCTAGGTCATGTTTCATTCTTCTTTGTCATAGCGTGAATTTCTCATTCCTTGTGAATGTCTTCACCTCGAGCTTCACGCTATCTATTTGTGGTTGCATTGGCTTCTCTTCTGCCTTCTTGTTGCCCGTCATCGTCAACACTTGCAGACACTCTTAAAACTATAAGAGCATGTCGTGAACAGGCTCTGATACCACTTGTTGTGTGAAAACACTCCAAAACTTTGTCGTTGATGGACTATGCAACAACACAGAGATTAAAACATGCACACACCATGAAAAGAGTAAAGCAAACACACAAGAATAGAGGTTTGGCCTCATGCCTACGTCCTCTTTGGTGATCCCCTTGAGAAATTTCACTAGAAGAATATGAAGAACTTTGGTTACAACAAGAACCCCTTTAGCTCTATATCATCTCAAACCCTAGGTCTTAATTTCTCTTTCACCCTCTTTGATATCCTTCTAAACACTCAATAATTCACCATTTTGAATTTTGTCTTATATTTCTCTCTTGAAAATTCATTCTTGAATTCTCCTCTTTTCTAAACTATCAGTTTCTGCTTCAAAAAATAATGGGACTGACTGTCCTAATTGGGACTATTTTTTGTAGTGTTTTGTATCTACTGCGTGAGAGGTACACTGTTGGACCAAGTTGGTTATTCGGTTTTAATGGATTTCTCTTTCGTTTCAGAAAAAAAAAAAAAAAAAAAAAAAAAAAAAAAAAAAAAAAAAAAAACAGCAGCCCCTCCTTTATAGTAACATATATATCAAGAAAAACAATAAAGTCGGATTTACAAAAATATTCACCACTAATACTATTAGAGGCACTTTTTAAGGTCGCTTCTTTAATCCGCCCCTCCTTTGTTTTACGGCGGAAATTTACTCTGCCCCAAGTAAATTAGTATACAACCAAAAACAGTACTTTGAAATTATTCAAATATTATTACATCACACAGAAAACATAGTACGACGAAATTACAATCACAACTCCACACATTACAGGCATCAAAGTATGTAACCATGCACATCAAAATGCATGAGCTAGCTAGATGCCCTTTATTCTAGCCATTAAAATATAAACTGATTAGCCACATAAACTTAATTTAATGATGTGCATTAGGGCCATCAATGTGGCAGCACTTGTAACTGATAAAAGTCTCCATGCTACGGTGGCAATCCGGGCATTTCATTGTGTCTGGGACCTTCCCGGTAGAGCCTGGAATATCTAGGCGGCAGCAAGGTCGAGTTGCAAGACGAACCTTCTCATGGTATGCTTTGAAACAAAACTCAAAGCCTTTCTCTTTCACATGGTCCTTCCATTTGTCAAAGTCCTCTATGACCCTTAGGATTGACACTCCATGGCCAGTGAGCAACATAGAAGACCCTTTGCTGAGCACAGCCCATCCACTTTCGTTTTTGTAAGAAAGCAGCTTCTGGATTTCTTGAGTGACTGGGTCGACTTGCTTGTGGCCCTTGGTGAAGAAGAGGCTTTCTATGCCGGACCAGAAGTGTCCTAGAATGCCATGGTCATCTTCACCTTTGCTTCCCTTCCCCACACAAAACAACTCGATGTGAATCTTTGCTTCCTTGAAAACGGGGTCGTTTGCGAGGGCACTTGCTTTCTTGGTGAATTGCTGAATCCAGTCGTTGTCTTTGCCTCCATAGAAGAAGATGTACTTCTCCTCTTTGATCTGTTTGTCCATGATAATTAAATTAATTAACCAAATTTACGAGCATTTTATATTTAAGTAAGAGTAATGCTAGAGAGACTGTAATATTTGTGGACCACATCTGCGGATCACATTAATTATGTGGTAAGCGAGATTCACTTGTTACATCAATAAATTGTCATCTGTCAAGTAATGTGATAAACTAATGCGGTCTAAGAATGTAATTTATGCAACATAAGCTCTACTTTTAAGAGGAGATTACCCAGTTGGGAAGAGATGGGTGAATGTCCTGGACTACATTGCCAACCCATCTATCTCCGTGAGAATGTGAGAGTTCTTCTTCAGTTGCCTTTGTGAAAGGGAAGGCCTTAACTCCCCATATCCGAATCATGTGGAGAGCGTTGGAATGCTCGACCTTTCCTTGTGGGTTCATCACCACCAGTGCAGGCTTACCCTTGAAGTTCCACTCCTCCTTGATGAACCTGATGCCGGCTATGGGTGCAGGGTTCTGCACTGTGTACCATGGCATCTTCAGCCTCAGGGTCTCAAACTTCTTTCGCAGGTCATCGGTCCAGTGCTCGACAACTGGAACCCAGACAATCTTATGCTGGTTCTCTTTCTTGGTGAACTCATAGATGGGTTTGAGGATAGAAATGTCATCATCGGAGATGTCCAGGCTTGAAATGAACAACAGCACATTCTTCCTCCTTAGTATATCGATTTTAACCTGTTTAACCAATTAGGGACGTTGTAATTAAGTAACTTACTTCAAACCAAATTAATAGAAATAATACAAGTAATGTCAGTAGAGCTAACCATTTGTTTAGTAGAACCATCAATGAGTGGCTGGACATTGTCCTTGGTAAAGATGAGGGCCTTGAAAACCTCCATAATCTCAGTAGGAGTTTGGAAGGTTTTCCTTATCCTCCGGTAAGCCTCTGCCTCCTCTGCACCAAACAACAAGCTTAATTTCTTCAGTATTTCATTTCAAGCAAATACAACACAGAATATCTGATTTTACTGAAAAATTTGCAAGTAATAACCCACCAATTTGTTTTCTGCAAACTATTAGCTGGATCTTAAGCTTGTTTAGGACATAGTGGATTTTTTGAGCAAACGGGGCTAGATCATGGTCCTTGACCCTGAAACAAATATACTTTTGTTACTGGACAAAAAAAAATTTGAGCACAAATTCATCAAGATCCATTCTACTATATTTTTGGTCAAACATTAAAGGAGAAGAACTTACTCATCACTGGTGAGAATAGTGACCTTAGTTGCACAAGCAACAACAGTCATAATAGCCCAATACACATCCACTGGAATATGGTCCATTGCAATTGCTAATCCTGGCACATCTTTCGGGTCGTAGCTAGAAAGCTTATCGAACTGATCGATGCACTCAATCACTTGCAATGTAGCCTTGATCAGATTATTAAGCTCAAGCACTGCTTGTCTTCTTTTGTGCAGGTCTGAGTGCTTGAGGAGGACAGGGACTCGCTTCAGGATTGCAATTGATTTGGCAAGTCGGTCCGATTCGTGAAGCTGGGCAAGGAGCCAGAACTCCCCATATTCCATTGCAAAAGCTGCTAGAGTCAGCACTGCCTTTGCTTCCCATGAATAGCTTGATAGCTTGTTCAGTATTGCCAGGGTTGTGCGGTGCGCAACTTCCTCACCTGGAGGCTTGCATTGCATCTGAAAATTTCAAATTAACTATGATAGTGTTAATTAATATGCAAAAGAAAAAAATAAGTGTGATGACAAGAAAAAAATTACAATCAATCGTAATGAAAATAAAGAAAATTTCCCAGGTAAACGACCTCGGAGGCTATTGACTTAAGTGTGCACAATGGTGTACTGAAGCCTGGTTTGGGGGTCTTCTCTTCTATGTTTTCAACATGCACTTGGGTACCCTGAAACAAGCAGTATGTAGCAGTGAGATAAGTGCACAACTATTTTCTTATGAAATAATTTCACGTGCTATGTAATTAGAGTGTCAATTAAAATTATAGTGATTGACAATTTGATAGCATAATATTTTATATACCTGCACGATTTTGTCAACAATTTGGGTTGCTCGCTTGAGGATGTTCTCAACGATGACAAAAAGAGAATCATCGTCAAAGGATTCATCAGCATGAACATGAGTTCCATAAATTTGCTCTAAGATTTTTTGGTCAGACATGGCAAACAGGCTAAGCTCATGACCTGCAATGTGGTTCTGAGCAGTAGTAACTACTGAGGCCACCTTGGTAGCCACATTGTGTGTTATGCCATTGCCTACCATGATGATGGGCTTAGTGACTCTTGGGGTTTTGAAGGGAAGGATAGAGAATAAGGAAGGCTTATGGCTAATTCTTGTGTTGGTTGGTGGTGCGGCACTTGCAACATATGCCTGCCCTATTTATAGCCCAATTGAGCTTGTACGGTAGCCTCTAAATGGACCCCATTTCTACATGGAGTTGTCACGTGAAGCGTCCGGATTGAAGAGAGCCCGATTAATATGATATGAATATACACAAGCTTTTGAGGGTTGATTTCACGCGTGGAGAAAGAAAAGGCTCAAGAGATTTCACACGGTGCGTGGTTTGCCTCAAACACAATAATGTGTCCGAGTTGAAAAAGACTACTGATTTGCAACATCTCTAAACTATTTTTTGCACTCGTTCTTTCATGTTTCTTGTCTTTTTTAATACAATTACATTCTTTTACCAGGCTTCATTGCTAATATTTTATTTTTATTTAAATAGAAAGGGAATAATGGAAGAAAATATAGAAATACAAAGCTTTTTTTTTAAAAGACATTTTTTATTAAGATTAGTGATGGTATACTAAACTCACACACACTATACGAATACTAGTACTCGAATCCAATATCTTTTCTAAGAAAACAATTGTTCTAAATCACTACACTAGCTAATGAGTACTTCGGTAAAGAGCTTTTTTAAATCTTTAATTCCATATCTAATTAATAGCTTGTAAGTTGTACGTACAACAACTGCATGCGTGCATGGACAGTGACAAAGACAAATGAAAATGAATAGCTTTATCGTCTTCCTTTTTCAAAGGTGCATGTGATGCGAAATATGAATGCAGCAAAGGTCAGGCAAAGTCCAAAGGGTGAGTTTCCCCTTCCCTTCCTAACGACCCCCAAAAAAAAATGGAGATGCCATGTATTACCCAGAGCTTTGTTGAGATGACACCTGTACCCCCATGCGGACGTATAATAATTGTCTGAAGTCAGGGAAGCATCAAACAATGTTTGTCTTTATGTCATCGATGATAATCCCAAGAGCCTTTGGCTTCTGGCACGTAAATATTGAACAAGACGTCCCTATTCTCTCGCCAGTTTTTGGGGAAAAACACTCCCATGTGTTACACATTCTGTTCTGGATCCTTCTCATTTCAATTCAAACCCAAAATAATATAAGCATAGAAGATTCTTAATTATTTAAAACACACATCGTTTTTTACAGTTAATATGAAAGAATAAATTTTTATAATTATTTTCTTTTACCGTTAATATGCCCTAAGAGCTTACATTTCGTGTATTATTCGTATTAGAGTTGTCTTATATCTTTCATAATTTTAACACAAGCGATATTAAAGAAGAGGAAAATCAAACACAACATCTCGAGTGCATAAATAACTGTTTTTAATCATTTCAGCTACAAACTCTTTGACTCCCTAGTGTAATTTAAGAAGACATCACCTTAAACTTCTTGCTCTTAGTTGGGATTTGATAAAGGATTTATTTCTTTTTAATAAAAGTAATGATTTTCCAAGGCATTATCCTTTGTGAATAATGCTCAACGTGGGAATGCTTTATCCTTTTCAGCTTTGGGTCAGTCTCCACTCTCCACTTAATCCCTTGTATTTGCAGATTGTCTATCTATCTCTGACTTCCTTTGGCCCACTGCCTTGACCTTTTACAAATCCATAAACGGCCTTTTTGCTTGTGCTTGTGCCACATGGCTCGGCCTCTGACAAAACTGGAAGCAATTATATATATATATATAGATATACGTGTAACGTGTCCTCCTGTTTTGGCCATTCTTTCATGTGAAATTATTGTTGCTCAAAGTATTTAAAAGACGTTTTCTTTACTTTTCTAAAAACAGTAGCTACTATATAAGAATAATGCAGTTTGGGTTTTGTAGTATTATTAGGCTCTTTACCCTTACATTCACAAGCAAGTAAGGCTTGCTTAGAGTCCCCGAATTGAGTACTACATAATTCCGCCATATCTCAAATTCCTCTTGGCACTCATGACTGAAATTTTTTCAAGTACGTACAATAGTAAGGTATTGAACCCATAGAGCTTATTAAGTGCTTATGATGAGAACCTTAATGGGTTCAAAAGAGCGGGTTAGAGCAGTGAGAGCAATTTAATACTGCATTATTCAAAAAAGTGGGTTAGAATAGTGAGCAGTTTAGAATATTGCGTTGTTAAAAAACAAAAGTTAAGTAGTTAGGCGGAGAGATTTTAATGGACACTTAATAATAAGCAGTTAATGAGACACATACATTGATTAAACTGAGACGTTTGTAAGATAATTTTTCCATCTCTCTTCTAATAATAATAATATAATAATGTTTATTTAAACTTGAAAACTCCAATACAAACAATTCGAAGCTAATTCCTCGCTTCATTTATTGTCTTTCGTCTTCCTACTATATTATATGTTAAGAAATCCACTTCATATGAAGTAAAACCTCTTAACTTTTAAGATTACAATATCCATATCAGATGATCGATCCGTTTTTAATTGCGAGCAGCGTAGAAAGGAAAGGCCGTGATTCCCTTTTCCCCAAACATTCGGAGAGCATTCCTGTTTTTCACTTGGCCGTCTGAGTCCATCACAACCAAGATAGGCTTACCCTCGTAATCCCACTTATTCTTAATGTCTGATATACGTAAGCAGGAACACTTGGCTGTGTACCACGGCATCTGAGACCTCAACTTGTCAAATTCCTTCTTTTCTTTTTCATTCCATTCCTCCACAACGGGGATCCATACAAGCTTATAATCCTCTGTTTTACTTACCTCAGCATTAACTGACCCCATAATTGAAAGATGTTCACGGTCACAAGTGTCCAGGCTTGAAAAGAACAAAAACAGATTCTTCCACCTTAGCATACAGAGCTCAACCTGTTTCAAACGAGAGAAAAAAACACAAGTGAAAAAGTGTTTCATTACATTAGCCAAACTAATAAAGAATTAAAAAGAAATTATTGTGCATTTAAACCTGCATATGGTTTTTAGAACCATCGGTAAGTTGGGTATGCTTTTCATAATCGGAACCAATCAGGTCCTGGAAAGTCTTCAGAGGACCAATAGGAGGTACGAACATATCTGCAAGCGTCCTGCTCCCTTGAAAACCTCGTCGGCTCGTCGCCGCTGAGGTCATAGAAGGAATAATACCCTTGTTGTCGAAGTAGTCTTCCCACTCCCTGTTGTTGAGGTAGCTGGTGGTGGCTGGGCGTGAAACATTAAAAAGCCCCACTCTGCACGCCACATTAAACCTAGCAAACAGGCTTCGACTACATCCCATGAGTTGCATGATGATCGATCAACACTAGTAATTAACAAATTAATTAACTTTGGGGCTTAATTTAATGGTGGCTTGTAAGACTTGCAGATACAGTGCGATGCCCTGCTCACCCCATGCCCTATTTATAGATGTTGTACAATAGCATATGCCGTGGGAAAAAACATGGTTGGATTAGTATGAATGAACGAATGGATGTGGGTTTTTGTAGTGTGAATGCTTGGTTAAAATTTTGAGTTCTTACGATATAGACCCTTACAACTACTATATCCTAGTTATTTATCCACCTATTTTTAAATCTTTACTGAAAACTCAAATTTAAAATAGGTTTCCACATGAGATATATTTTTCACCTACTTTCATATTTTATTAACTAAATTACATTATTTACCACCTTCTTTCATATTTTATTTATAATTTATTTTCAAGCATGTCATTTACTATTAATTATAATTAATAGTCTCTATCAATAGCATATCAACCACTCCATTTATTTTGGTTGGCATTCCCTCTACACATTGCCGATCCCTAGAATTTCAAACAAACAAAAAATCCTACATTACATATCCAATAAATAATGTACCTATAAAAAATATAAATATGTATATAATATAGGTACTTTATTTACAAATTTTTTTTAAAAAGGATCCATTACTTTGTAATTGAAATTTCTGTAAATTTTTTTATAAATTTAAAATAGGTACATTATTTATAAATTAAAAAAAAGGTTTTTTTTTTGGCCATAAAATAGGTATGTTGTATAATTGAAATTTTTGCACATTTTTCATAAATTAAAATAGGTACATTCTTTATTTTTTAAAAATAGGTATGTTATTTATAGGTACACAAAATAGGTATATTTACAAAAGATATGTAAAAAATAGGTATATTATTCATAATAATTTTAAAAAAGGGTGGAACAAATAGGTACAAATAATAGGTACATTATTTATTCTAAAACATGATAGGTACATTAAATGGTTTTTCATAAATTCAATAGGCCATAAACGTGACTTTTTTAGATACTGAATATTATTATATTTTGAAGAGAAAAAACTTACCCTAAAAATTCCTAAATTTAAGCCAATTTAAAACACCATTTTCCTATATATAAAAAACGCCATTTGAATAGAGTGCTGCTATTTTCACCCACTTGTCCTATTTTCCCACCCACTTTATTTTCAAAATTTTAAAGAAAAATTTATCCCTTCATAAAATTACTTCTAAGAACTTAAAAAAAAATATTTAAAAGTAAATTTATTTTCTTTCACAACACAATATATTAGTTTAAAAAAGAAAAGAAGCTCAGGAAACTTGCAAGATAGGAGAAAACAATCGCATATGCAAACATGCACAACTGCAACATCAAGGAAGCAATGCGGTGAACTCATCATTCATTAATTCCCCTTCAGAATAAAATTAAAATTTAAAAAGAAAAAAGAAAAAAAAAAGAACCTTCCCACCCCAACCCCAATGGCAAATTCCCCTTCATGGCCACTGCTACCGCCTCCCTCTTTGTTTCTATTCCTTCCTCCATCTCTCTTTCATGTACAAAGAACAATCTTATTTAACATTTGTTGTTCGTTTTCAAATTTTGCCCTTTTCTTCCTTAACATCAACAACATAATCTTAATATCAATCCTTCAATATTTTCATATGGGTCGTCTCCATCTTCCTCAAAATTAAAACAATAAAAATTTGAAAAAAAATAAAGATTGTATAGAAACCACCAGCCATCACGAACCCAACACTACCTCCCCTAGTCGACACCTCCCACCACGAATCCGTCAATTATATGAGGGGATGAGATTTGTAAATAAGACTTGCTGGTGGGATATGGATCGTAGGTCTAATTGAACCCCAGTCAACTTATGGTAGACCCACAATCGATCCACAATCAACTTATATATTCCTTGTTTTTTAAAGAGAGAGAGAGAGAGGGAGAAAGAAAATAAGAGAAACAAAAAGGAAGAGGGAGGGGTGGTGAGCGGTGATTGATGGGTCTTTTTCTTTTCGATTTTTTATTTTTTTAATTGTTTAAATTAATAATTAAAGGGTATTATAGGAATAATAGTAATATGATGGGTGAAAAGATAAGGTGGGTGGGAAAATAGGATAAGGGGGTGGAAAATAGCAGCATTCTTTGAATATTACTGACATTGAATAGCAGTAAATATGTTCAAAGTATATTCAGAACAATCAATGGAGAAAACAACAATTGCAAATACGTAAGGGTATTTGGGAATCTAAAAATTACAATAAATAAGATCTTGAGCTTAATAAGGTAACTTGATGAGGTGGATCATAGTCTTGGGCTTTCATTTATAAAAAATGGATTTTAATAATAGGAACAAAAAGTAATGGATTGCAATTAAGAAAAATTCAATTTGAAGAAGGTAAGCCAAATTTACTATAAAAATTTTAAAGTATGATATTGCACAAAATTAATTCAAAACCGAAACTAATTATTTTTCGCGCCCTACCTAACTTCGTATATTTGTCATGTGCCTCAATTAATTTATGGCATGATAGTATTTTTTTTATAAAGGTAATTAATTTATTGACAACTCATATATTTCATTCTTATCTTTTAGCTAGGTCTACAAGATTCTAGAATTTTATTGTTTAGCTGCCTATAAGTTTGCAGTTTGTGCAAAGGATCCACTAGTGTTGTGGTTTGGAGTAATTGGTCCCTTAGAAAAGGTGTCGGGTTCAAGTTCTAGCATTTGTGTTACCCCTTATACTTAAGGCTTAACTGTTGATTTGCCCCCTGAACTTGTACTTAATTTTCGTTTTAGCCTTTATACTTAAGGTTCCAAGTTCGAATTATAGCATCGTGTAGTGTTGTGAGTTTAGTATGATATCGTCCCTCTCAATACAAAAGGTATTCAAAGAAAAAGAAAAAAAAAGTTTTTAATTTTGTCTATATGTTTTTCATCCATCATCGAACCCAACTTCTTCATCCATCGTCGACCCAACAACCCCACCTCCATCTTTAAAGATCACTGCAACTATGTTGTCCACCTTTTTCATACAGCCCAGCACTTCAAAAACAAAACAGCCAAGAAACCATTGGCCTGAAATCAGAATCATCGTGACCCTTTTCTCAAGAGTGGAAGAGAGATGTTGTAACTTTTAAGTGGTTGGAGTAAACAAAGCGAAGCTAAATTGATGGTGTTGAAACTTTGAAACCTAGGTTAAGTAGAACAATGTTGTGTAGTTGTAGAGACAAAAGTATAAAACTTGGAGTTGGATATACAAGGACTGAGTTTGGCCCATTGAGTTAGAGATCGTACTGAGTCGAAGCGTTTATGAAAGACAGAGAGAGTTGATGTGGAATAGAAAAGAGAGTGGCTTCGGTAGCGCTCTTGGATTTTCAAACTTTTTTAGGGGGTGGGATAGAGAGGGAGAGAGGGAGAGACAGAAAGGGAGAGCTGAGAGAGAGAGAGAGAGAGAGAGGAGAGAGAGAGAGAGAGAGAGAGATTTGGGTTTGCATTTTTTATTTTTAAGTTTATTTATTTAATTAAATATAATTAAATTATTCAATTTTTAAAATTTAAAAATTTAAAAATATTTTAATTTAGATGGACAGTTTTAGTCCTCAAATTAACAGCCAAATTGACGAAAGGACTCAATTGGAACAGATGAGAGAGTTGGATGACCTAATTGCGAAAAAAAAAAAGTTCACGGACCCAATTGCAAATGGGGGCCAAGTTCAGGGACGTCTACAGTAATTAACCATTTTTAAATACAAGCAGATATTTTAAACTATATGGGAAGATTAATTTTTCATACACACACAACTATGATGCCTTGAGGATTCGAACTTAAAATCTCTGATCTGCAAGTCAAGGTCCTTTTTCACTAGGTTAGACCGGTTGACTAGACTCATAAATCTATAAATTGATGCAACTCATGAGCAATGCATAAGACACCAGTACTTTAACACTTTCTATTGCAGCTGCCTACCCTTGTTTTCTCGCTCCTTTAATTGACTAAAATCTGCTTTCTCTTCTTCTTCTACTGCCAGTTAGAGCTTTACGCTATTACAAATACTGTCTCCCTCTGCTCTCAAGGTACAATTGTCAATTGGTTCCCTTCTCTCCTTCCCAAGCCCAACTATAGGGTGCGGTATTTTTCAGTATTTATTTTAAATATTTTTTGTGAGTATGTCGTTGTTAGTCATCAGTGTTGTGAATTTTGTTTTTGTTAGTGAAATTACAGTTTAGAAAATAAAAAATATTTACTCTCTCTTCCATATTTTAAATGTTAGTACGTAGAGAAGATTATTGCATTAGGAGTGTTATGAATTACATTCTCTTATTTGATTCTATGCCATTGCAACTTGCTTCAGACTTTCAGGACAGTACATATATAGTTGAGCCGGTCATCATCATGGCTATTGAAACGGAATGCAATGCAGATCGGACTTATATTGTAGGAGAAGATACTTTATTAGAAGCGTTGAAAGAGATGATGAGAAGAACCGCTGGCCCTGCTACATCACCCTTGCCTCCCGCAAGCTGCATCTTCAACGTTCCCGAAGCTCTCTGGATGCATAATCCGAAGGCATATGAGCCTTACGTCGTCTCAATCGGACCCTTTCATCGAGGACGCGATCATGAAAAACTCCAGCGCATGGAAACTGTGAAGCAGTGGTATTTAGATACCCTTCTCGTCCGCGTGCATATAAGCTCACAAGAATTCATCCAGCGCATTAATGATGAAACGGAGAATGGCATCATTGAGTTTGAGAAACGGGCCCGTTCTTTTTATGCAGAACCACTTGATCACCTTAAAGAGAAAGAGTTCATGGAAATAATGATACTTGATGGTTGCTTCGTAATACATCTACTTTGGAAGATTGTCAATGGGAAAAAAGATGATGATGACCCCATATTGAACATGGATTGCATGTTCCAGTATGTATGTCATGATCTTTTGCTATTAGAAAATCAGCTTCCTTGGTTTGTTCTCAGCTGTTTATATCGCCTTACCTTGGGCAAAATCTACGGTGGACCCCCGTTCAATGTAGTCCTTACCCAAGCCTTCCGCTCACAAAACTCGTTGGAGAAATTTATCGACTCCTATTTACAATCTCTTAAGAAAACTGGCCAGAATAAGGAGAGTCTGAAGAAAACAGAAGAGTCTAATGAAAAGGCTGCTTTGCACATACTTGATCTAATCAGATTTTTCATTGTTTTGGAATTCGAACCAAAGAAAGGAGAGTCTGAAGAAGAGTTAGAATCGGATATTCCTCCAGCCACTGCTCTCTCAGAAGCAGGCGTCAAATTTAAAAAGGGCGACTCGGCTGATAATCTACTGAACATCAAATTTGATAACCGGGATTTAACAATTCCAGAACTAGCAGTTGCAGAGTTGACCGAACCATTTTTGAGGAACCTCATCGCCTTTGAGCAGTGCTATCATGGTCGTTCTCATCAAATAACATCTTACGCCGTTTTCATGGATAAACTCATCAGTTCCGATAAGGATATAAAGCTTCTTTCTGAGAAAAAGATCTTAGCTAACTGGCTCAACGTTGAAGATGGTTCTAAGTTCTTTAACAGCCTTTACATTGACACCTCAGTCAAAGATTTCCAGTATCACAAACTCTGCGTTGAAGTGAATAAATATTACCATGTTAAATGGAACAGGTACTTCGAACAATTTAGGCGCGACTACTGCAGTACCCCATGGAAAGTTATTGCTTTGGCTGTAGGGATTCTCCTTCTGCTTGTCAACTTAATGCAGCTCGTCATTAGCCTTCAAATCCTCAACACTTTTTACGGGTATAAGGGTCAATGAATTAAGTGCTGATATATAGTTGTATGTATTGCTAAGAGTTTGTTTAATAAGCTGAGAGTGTTGTTAAGAGTTTGTTTAATTAATAAGCTGAGAGAGTTGTTATAAACATATATATATATATATATATATATTGTAAAGAGAAGAGAGATATATAATCTCAATCAATGTAATAATCTTATCTATCTAAGCAATAATACAAGAGGGATCTTCCTTCATATCCTCTCTCTTCTTTTTTTCTTTCCTTCTTCCTCTTCTAATATGGGATTGTTATGTTAATATGGTAGGGTTAATCGTTTTATTAGTCCTTGAACTTAGACTTGATTTTCATTTGAGTCTCTCAATTTTCAAAATAGTTCCTGTGGTCCTTTAACTTCACTTTCGTTAGGGCAAGCTCCTACCGTTTGTTAACTTTTTCTGTTAAATGCAGGGGGTAATGATATTTTTATATTAAAACAAAAAAAAAGAATAAAAAATTATATATTTGAAATAACAATAAAATAAAATTAAATAAAAAAAATTTCAAATTTGGGGGGAGTAGAAATTGGGATAGAGGGGGGGGGAGAGAGAGAGAGTTTAATTTTAATTTTTTATTCATAATTTAATCAATTTTGATACAAAAATACCATTTTGCCCCACCATTTAACAGAAAAGTTAACAAAATTGATGGCAGGACCATTTGTCCTAACGAAACTGAAGTTGAAAGACCACGAGAATGATTTTGAAAATTGAGGGGCTCAAATGCAAATCGGGTCTAAGTTCAGGGACTACTAAAACGATTTCTGCTTCCCTCTCTGAAATATATGAAATCAAATTCGAGATATTCGATTTCACAATCAAGAACAGTGACATCTCTGAAATCAACTCAAGATTCAAGAACACAAAATCCATAGAGTTTGTGTCCCGATAACACTATACTACTCCAATCACTGCTCAAATCTTGTTCTTCTCTCTTCTTTCTCTGCAATGTTCAACATATTGTCTGTGAGCAACGTTCATTTCTTGGGGCAAAATTTGTGGCAATATTGCAATCCCCAATTTCTTCTTTGATTTTATAAGCTTATTTGAGAGGGGCACTTCTATGTAGTTTCCCTCCGCATTGTATTTCAATGATACGACCCCTCTAGTTTTTAGGTGTTAATTTAAAAATCATCTCTTCAAAAAATACTTGAATTGAAAACCATTTAAACACTCAATTATAATATCTAAAAGTTAGGAATGGGGCCAACGAGGTCTAACCCAATGAAAAAGGGCCTTAACTTGCAAACTAGTAGCCTCATGTTCGAATTCCCATTGCACCTTCTAGTATATGAAAACCCACATTCTCCCTTGTAAACTTGAGACCTTTTCCACTGAGCTAGACCCATTGATAAATGTGGATAGAAACTTAGAGCAGTTAGATCGAGAGGTTTTAGGGCCAGTTTGGCATTGCTGTGCTGTGAAAATAATCATTATCAGATTTGCCGTGAGATAAATTAGCTGTGAGAGAAAGCATTTTGGCGTTTGGTAAACTTTTTGTTAAAAGTGTTGTTGGTACTAATTCCCCGCATAATCATTAAACCCAGCCTCTCTTCAAAACTTATTTCTGCATAATCAGAAAATGGAAGCACCTTATTAGCTACTTTCACTTATAACTTTCTCTCACAGCAATTTTTAACAATAAATGATTTTCTCAGAGTTTACCAAATGGGTTGGGCTTCCCAAATTTTTTAAAAAATCACTTATCACTCCAAATAAGTAATGTCAAATGGGCACTTAGTGTAGACATATGATATCAACCTTTTTATTTATTTTTTTGAGAAATTATAAACCATTTTAATAAATTAAAGATACACATTTAAACTGAGCCGTTTGTGAGAAACAATTTTTATTTTCTTCAATACTGGGCTTTACTTAGCCCAAATAGCCCTCGTTGGATTTAGGTTGGGCCCCAAATTCTTGGGTTGAACCAACTGCGAGTGACGAGTCTAAACCCGTCAAAGAAAATCCGATTAATCCCAGGCGGAGGTCAACACCGTTGACCAAATGCTATTTCGCCATTAGCAGCGAGACTGAAACAAAAAAAACACAAAGACGAAAGACCCATCTCTGATTTGCTCTGATTTTAGCATTCTCCGCCCCAAAATCGAAGGCTTTGGAAGAACCCTTTCACAATGTCCACCGGATTGGTGTCCCAGGTCAAGGAAGTGAGCCAATCAGCGATTGCCACGCTTCGGCCATGGGGGGAACTCCTGGAGCCGACCGCAATCAGCCTCCCCTCCAATCTCTCCGAGGCCACGACCCGACTGGCCCAGAACTTGACCCATTTCCGCTCCAACTACACCTTGGTCCTCTTGACCGTGCTCTTCCTCAGCCTCCTATACCACCCGGTCTCCATCATCGTCTTCTTGATCATTTTCGCCGCGTGGCTCGTCCTCTACTTCTCACGTGACCAGCCCCTCGAGGTCTTTGGCTTTACTGTCGGAGACCGGGTTGTGATGGTTGTTCTTGGGGTGGTTACGGTGTTGGCTCTCGTCTTGACCCATGTGTGGCTCAACGTCGTCGTTTCAGTGGTGATTGGGGTCGCTTTGGTTTCCTTGCACGCGGTGTTTAGGGGCACGGAGGACCTTGTTATGGATGACCAAGAATCGCCTTATGGGACTCTGCTCTCGGATGATCATGACCCAAGTGGGAATTATACCATCATGTGACTGTTTCCGCTGTGTTCTCGAGCTTTTTGGAGGTGGGTGTTTTGATTTGTTTTCTGGGTTTTCTTGAATTTGGAAAAGTTTTGAAAGTGTTAGGTATTTGGTTTGTTTGGATTGCATGGACTTGATGCAATGTATTGTTATGCTGGTTTAGGATGTGTCTTGGTTTTTGGAAGTGTTAGTTGATGAGAAACTGCAACTCAATGGATTGTGTATGATAACAAACATTACCATTGGATTGATTGTGCTTCTAAATACTTGTTTACAACAGGGAGTATAGGATTTTAATAGATATACTTCAATGTGATTACTCCATTGTTATCTGTGATATTCATCTGTTTTTGCTCTTGGTACTAAATTCATTTGAGAATGTATTAAATGTCGTTTGCCTCCATGCATGCCCTGTTGCAAAGAATTGATGCTGTTGTGCGAGCATAGGTGCAAATATCTTTTTTGCTAAGCATAACGTGTAGCACGATGATACCTTATACTGGATTCATATTGCAATGATTAACTGTGTGCCGCTGGCATATAAATCATTTAAAGAATATGTAGATGTGTTGTGGTCTTCACAGTAATCATACTGCCTTGATAGTTTTCTGATTGTGTCAAAATAGTCAAAGCTTTGTTTGTGTAAGCTGAATATATACCCATATATAGAAAATTTATGTTTGAATAATTGACAAACATGATCTTTCTATCCAAAATCTTTTCTGGACGAGCAAAAAGAAAGTAATCTTTTGAGGCAGAACTGAACCAATTTCAGGGTTACGTATGTTATGTCCTAACTACCCTATATAACTCTTTTCCATGTCATTAGTTCAAATCTCGGTTTGCCACGGACCGCTGAAGTTCCTATATAACGTTTTGGTGGTGCAATAGCAAGATCTCTTAGCAACTTGTTTCTGGCTATTACTTGGTTATACCTGTTAGTCTAGTAACTGTTGTTTGAATTGATCATTGCCGTATCTTACTAATAAAAAATGACATATATTCCTATTTCCAAGTTCCAAGTTCCAAAAGAAGTGCATAAAATTACTTCTTATGAACATGACATTCTTTTCTTCTTGTTTTTTGCTCTCCATCAATAAGTTGCATTATTTATTTTCTGTGCATTTGTTTCCAATTGAACAAAATAGAATGGTAGTTGTCCAAGATGGTTATAAGGAACGTTAGTATGGTTGGCATCACTTTCTGACCATATTGCTGCAAGTGCCAGATATTTTTTTATTGCTTTTTCCTATTTGGTCGGGTTTTTTAGCAATCTTTGTAACAAATTAACAGTCTCCTAAAAAGAAAGAAATGTACATTCGTTCCTGTAACTTCTTGCCGCGATAGTTCATGTCATGTAGAAACTAGCAGATGTTTGATAATCTGATGCCCTTTCACAATTTGAAGTTTTTTTCTTTTGAATCCTTTCACCACTTTGAGTTGGGGAAGTAGAGTTTCTCTCTCTCGTGAAATGGGGCTTGTAGATTTTCTTCTCCTTTAGTGTGTGCTCGCCATTGGCCAAAGAGAGAAACATTGTAGTACCACTGCACCTGAGAAATGATTTGTCTGTGCTAATGGGACAGTGACATGATTAACTTTTTTGTTAGAATATAATTATTGAAATTCTCTATCAGGGATTGGATTAAGCTGATTTTTCTTTTGCGTATGACTTATTATGTATATTGGATGCATACACGACTGCCCTGTGAATGTTCTGAACATTTAGTGATGCATGATTACTAGTGATCACCGTGGTGATTTGTTTCCAGACATCCATTTAGAAATAGGTGTTAAACTCCTCCTGCACATCTTTAATTGGAGAAAGAAAAAATGTTCTTTCCTGCCATACATCTTAGTTTAAGTTGTTTCATGAGTTCAATATTATCTATGCCAGGTGAAATCTATTTCTAACCAATGCCATTAGATGATTCCTCCGTAAGTCTTTAATGTTTGATTTTTTGGATGACCCTAGAACATACAACCTCGAGCGTGGAATTATGAGAAATTTGCTATCTTCTTGTTTTTAATTGTGAGTTGAAAGAGTTGTAAGAAGACCCTCCTAGATTGGGCTAGCTTATCTATTATGTGCATATGATCTCTTGACATTTCAAGTTATGTTTAACAATAATTCTTGTTTCAACTTTTTATTTCAAGGTATTGGTTTCCATGAATTGGCGATTGGGCTAATGTTTTTTTTGCTTGTTTTTATGTATTTGCGTGTTTGCATTGCAGAAAATAGAATTTCTTCGTTCTTCAGTCAGGTACCTAGATTCCAGCCTCCCAGGGGGGCATACCTCTAACCAACATATCCACTTCTGATGCCGGCACCTTGCTTCTGAAGCCTGGAATTGTGTTCGCACCACTGTAATTGTTGTTCAGCTTTTCTTCTCGATTCAAATCATGTTTTTTAGCGCTTTTAACAGAGAAACTTGTATATACCATTGTTTTCTCATGGTAAATGTGGAGCAAACGGGGAATTGGGTAAGAAATGGGTCGCTGTGTCAGTTCATGCCATTTTGGAATACATTGGAACTTTGCAAATGGTATAACTGCAGTTTTTTTTGTAGTAATCATGTATGCAGTACTAATTCCTTTTCCTCAGTGATTGTAAGCCGTCAGGTACTGAAGCAAAATTGAGCCATTTATCAGTTTCTGCTCATCGGGTGAGGTTGGCCAATTTTTACATTTGTGGAAAATTCACTTTCCTTTTCCCATATGTCCACCAATCGCATTACGGCACTGATTCAAAGTATATTCGAGGTTCCAATTGAGGGTTGAGTGGAGGTCATACCATTCTTTCGTTTTTGAAATTACCAGAAAGGAAGAAAATAATCGGATTAGTAAAACTGAAAAGCTCCAAGAGTTTATAATGGTTTTGTGTTTTATTCTATTATATCTTTAATTTAAACTAGCATCTCTTTTCAAAATCTGTGGATTTGTCATGAGAAAATTCTACAAAACCAGAAAACTGCCAAGAGTATTTACTACGAAGTACCTGGTACATCACACTGCACGCAAAGCAAGTATATGCATATAATGCATGCAGGGATGAAAAGGAAAAATAAATGAAATGTTCAGTGCAGATGCATGCTGAGAACAAACAGTGAAGGCAGCTGAGACTGCGTCGACTGCGGTCCCTTTTAACGGGAATTGCGACTATAAGGACAGCCAAAACAGGTCTACCAGAGCTGCATTTTTCGACCGTACGTGAGGGCCATCACATATTCCTTTGCTGAGCTTCCTGGGGAGGTCTGTATTATTTGTGATGCTGGTGTTGTCCGTAACCACAAGTCCACCAAGTTCTGCAGCTGCAATGTAGGAATTACCGGCTTACCTTGCAATGAGATCTCCACCTGTTGTATTAAGCATCAAATGATTTATTTCAAGTCCGGCCAACTTACTAGGCATATTAATGGGTACAATGGAAAAATGAAATGGGAAAGAATTGATATATATATATATATATATATATTAATTGAAAAGGGACATAGATAATGTTACCTCATCCTCGCTAGTAAGCTCCAGCTTTTTTACCAGATACTTTTTTATGAAAGAAACAGGTAAATTGCCATCCCTATGGAATTTGAAAAAACAAAATCGAAATTAATGTCTGTGCTTCCAAGAAACTAAAAATTAGTAATTACACTAAGCATTGCCAGACAATTTTAAGAGATCATTTTAAAAAGTTATCATCACTTGACAGTGTCTTATTTTGAATAAATAGCAAGGTAACAAAAGGCAAGCAAAAACAAGCACATACACTGACCATACAGGAAAAGAATAAACTTCTATTTTAACCCATGAACTTAAATGTAGCACAACCTCTGCATAATCTACAATGTGACTTTCATTTAACTATAAGGAATGTAGCACAATTTTTCATGTTCAGTATTGAAAGGCTTACTAAGAAGAAAGAAAGAGCACTGCTCCCAGTAAAAAAATTGGAATAATAGACGAACGACGGAGGCGGTATAGTGTTGTACAACAATTAAAATTGGAATAAAAGGTTCTTTTTAGCTTCTGAAAATATGTGGCATCTGTGTCAAAACCAAAAAAATTTCCCAAATACTATCAGTTATTGCAGTAACAAAAGGGAACAGTAGAAAAAAATTTCCTTTTTTGTGATACCAGAGCAGCATTTTAAAGGTCATGAGAAGTTGATAGAAACCTTGTTATATGAGCAAGCATGTTATAGACATGTTAATCAAATCAGTGTGAATTATTAAATACTGAGACAAGAATACTCTGGACATGGTGCAGACTTAAAATCTAGTCGTTTATAAGATATGATCTGTGTCTATTAACTTCCACCAAGACTGAATGATCCTTGGTGCTGGGAAACATGACATTGAACTATGTGATTTCATTTCCAAAACCAAAATGGGCAGGAACAAGCAAAAAAGAAAATAACAATATAGAAGAGCATGAGGTTAATGAAACTTACTTGACTCTCAAGTAGCATGAGGGTATCTGTGGCAAGGGCGCATGGCCGTCCCTGCAACCATGAATTACAAAATTGTAAAACCAGTATATGAAGAGGGAAAAAATAACAATCAAGTTCAGTTCTGTTATGCCAAGGGAAAAAAATCTCACTGGTGATTGGAAGCAATTAAAGAGAACCAAATTGGCTTAAATCTTCTTTCGCATTTATTATTTGCATCAATGACATACTGTGCTGAAATATTAAGTCCCTGGGATGCAGCTGGTTTTCTTTTTCGGCCACGTTGTGCTTTCCTAAATGTCACTGAACCTGATGGTGCAGGATTAGATTCATTTTCATTGCCATGGACTTTGGATATGTTATCATCTTCCAGAATGGCCTTAATCTCACGTGTTTCTTTGTTGACGTTATCAGGCAACACTGATTCGGCAGCAGGAAGTTGCACAGGAAGCTTGTCAGCACTTGTATTGCTTGCACCTTCCACCAGGCGGTTTAATGGTTTCCACAAATTAGCTTTCCCATCCCCTGGTTGAGCATTGTCCTCCACACCCTTGTTAACCATGTGTTGCTTGGATGATCCCTCAATAGAATTCTGCATCAAAATGATGATTCAACATATTTTAAAAAATAAAATGAAGTAAATGCTGAATCAATTTTTTTCCTTTTCTTGCAAAATAGTTATTATTGTAATATCAAAATAATAAGCACAGATAAACCAAAGCTTAGCCCTCTTTCACCTGTCTGGTGTATACTGCATCTTTCTTTGGAGTCCCTGATGAGTTAAGTCTCTCCAGGAGATCTTCCTCTTTCTTCTCAGGCTCCTGAATGGAAAGAGACTCTTGTAGAGTAAAACTCCTTCTTGTAGGATACCTTCTTCTTCCACTCATATCAGAGCTGGACGATACTCGAGGTGTACTTATCACCAATGAAGACAAATACCTCTCCTTTCTTTTAGCTGGAAATGTTACTGAGGACACAGAAGGTGCCTTAACCTGTTCTCTTTCAGAAGGAAAGAGCTTTGGCGTTATATCTTGCATATTGTGGTCTGCAGGTGCCTTAAACTCTTTTGTTTCAGAAGGGACGGTCTTTTCCTTTATATCTTGTACATTGTGGTCTGCAGCTGCGTTGACTTTTTTTCTGTCAGAAGGGAAGAGCTTGGCCCTTATATCTTCCCAATTGTTGTCGGCCCTGCAGACAAGAAGGAAAAAAAAAGCATAAAACAAGCATGGATCTCTGCTCTAGTCATATTATCAATTCTAAAAATTGTGTCTCTCTCAAGTGGATAAGATATAGATTGAGCCGTGGCCTCAAGAATAATCAACGATATCTTGCAGTAAATACACAGGCTTACATTTGATCAAGATTCAAAGATGGCTGATATTTACAATTGCTAGTGTATGTTAGGCCATCAAGAAATTTCAATAGAAGAGAAATGAAAATTTCCGAAGACAACTATATATTTGGTCACCAGTTGAGGTAACAATGGAAAATGGAACAAGGAAGAAACATTCACTCATTAGGAAAATGTCTTGTAAAGTCACTAAAATGGGCTACTGCTAGTTCAGAACTCATATTTCTCATATGCAAAGTATTAACATCTTCTTATCGAGTAAAATTTATCTCATGGAAGATTGAGAAAGATCCCCTGCTACAACTGACAAAGAAAAAAAGGGTCCCCAGCAACTTAGTCGAATCTTTGCAACAAATCGTTGCATGAACCAATAATCTTATTATTATCATTTGAGTTTTGGTCATAAGATGCATAACAGGATTTGATTACTAAAAGAAAAGAAAACTATCCGTTGCATGTGTTCTTTGTTGACATGGTCAACTAGACCAGATTTTTGTGCAAGTTCATCAGTTAAACTCTGCAAACATTTTGAAATTTATCTGGTGTCGAATAGAGACTTGAATAACAGGTAAGTGGCTACTAGACTAGTAGTTTCCCTTTAAGTATCTTCAGCTTGCAGGGCCTTTGCTACTAATTGAGCAGTTTGTACATCAAATAAAAGGTTTGTATAGTCCAGATTAAAATCTAATCATTTTCTAGAATAGCATATGGTTGGTTCATGTATTCTGTGAGTAGCCAATGTTTAAACATTTATAAACATAGATTAGATAATCAAATACCTGAGTTTTTCCAGTGGAGAAACCCCTAAATCAGCCTTGCATTTTGGACAGTAATCCACCTCTTCATCTATTATCTTCTTATATATGCACTTCCTGCAAACTGTTCTCAAAACCGAAATAAACGAGTCATATTGATTCATAGAACGAAAATTAACATGCAGCTCATTTGATCTGCATTCCATGTAAGAATGGGGCAAATAAAACATTTAATGCAGATCATATCCAAATACTTGGGTCAAAATTAGAAAGAAACCAACAGGTTGGGAGAATGGGGCACATAAAACATTTAACGCAGATCACATCCATATACTTGAGTCAAAGTTAGAAAGAAACCAACAGATTAGAGGAGGAATGAGTAAAAAAAACATGGAGAATTAAGTAAACTTTCTGACAATCAAAGCCCTTAAAAGGAGAAACAAACATTGGGGGCATGCATGCTACCTACATGAACTGGCCAAGTCCTCTAAGAATGCGAGTAAATCTTTAAAGTCCTATTCACAATTACAGTCCCGCAAAGTATAGTGGCTCTGTAGTTCTTCCATATTACCTAATAATAATATCAACATGTATATGACTGACTCACAATGATTCAAAAATAGCTTTTTCTTAAAGCACAATCAAACCTATAAACCCAGAGCCATTGTGCCAACAAGATCACAATTTTCCAGGATTTTCTAGGAAAGTTAATGACTTGCCACATATATAGTATGTACCAAAAGAACCCACGTCAAGAATAGGAACACAACACATGAAATCAGATCCAAAAAGACATAAAATTGTATCAACATGAAAGCAAAACACAGAGTGAGAGAGAGAGGTACTGACAGGTATGAAGGCATTCGGATATGGTTGTGGCCTCGCTGAAGAGTTTATTGCAGAGTGGACATGTCATGCAAGCTTCGAGTTTTGCTCTCTCTCTCTTCACCACCTGGCTACTCATCATTGGCATTGGACACTGACACAGAGCAGAGAGAGAGAGACTCAAAACAACATACAGAGAGAGAGTTGTATTCTTTTATTTTTATAATTCACGTACCAACAACAACATCAGCACATGGTGCATGTCACCTTCAATATTCTGGACGAGAAATTAAACAACTAGAATTGAATCACCAAGAAATCGAGCATCCAAACAAAACCCAATACGGGGTTTCTGATTCTATGCCTTGATGATAGCTATTGGGTCGTGTTTGGTGGGCGAGAAAAAACAGAGAAAAAAAAAAGAGAGGGAGGGAAGGGGAGAGTGTGTTTGTTGTGTGGAGGGAGGGTGGGATTTGGAGGTATTCGAAGAGAAAAGGGTCTTGTTCGATTTGGACAATGGACAATGGGATTGGTGTTGAATTGATGATCTGTTCGAGGCTCAATAGCTAAAATCTCACCTCCAAAAACATAAAAACAAACCCATAACACAGCATGAAAAAAATAAAACTACCAACTATGTGTATTGTTGTTGTTACGAAGGCTAACTAGTTCAAAGAAACAAACACATATAGGCATTGTGTTAAGGTACGCCCATGGTGTTTAGGGGGTTAAACTGCACCTTCCCTCCGCCCACAATTTTTTCTTTTCTTTCTGGTGTGGTTTTGGGGTGTGTGCGTGTCTACGTAAAGGGTTTATTTCAATTTCAAATTAATTCTTACCCAAACCAAAAATCCAAAAAGGGATTGTATTTTTCTTTTTTCTTGGGTGAGTATGCACTTTAAACCCTTTTTAAGTTTCCCCCTTTTTTCTTGTATTCTTCTCTTTTGCTATGGGATTTCCAGCGTACGTTAGCGAGGGCCACGTGGAAATCATGTGTGGGTGCTGTGGATTTCTTGGCATGCCCTAAAAATATGTTTGGGTTTTCATGTAGACTTGAAGAAGATATAATACTCATGCGTTGTGGATGTGGATGTGTATGTGTTAGTTGAAATTGGATAAGGGAGAGTCAAAGACTCAAAGTTTTGTGTGAACTTTGAGAATCACGACCGACCTTGTCCTTAATGCAAGGCACTTTCTTATTCATTAGTGGATTGGAATTGCATGAGGCAATTATATAAGACAAAACAAAAATAATCAAGTAGCTGCGTGAGACGATGAATGAGTGAGATTCTTTGGGGAAAAAAGAAAAATAAATTCTGCATTCTTAAATTCACCACCAAAGAACACACCAATCCAATCCAACTTGCAAAATCTATGTCCAGAAACTGCTCTTCATGACAAAAATGCTAGGAAAGGATGATTTGTTATTCCATAACTCAAACAAATGACAGAAACAACATATAAGAGTATGGAAGTGTGATTTGTGTATAAGATTGAGGGAGAGAATAATGGAAGTAGGGTTTTTTTCAGTGCAAGTAATCGTCTAAACTACAGGGGGAGGGGGAGTTTCTTGTATACACACTACCATAGTGCCATAAGAGTTCGAATATGAGACTACTAATATGCAAGTCAATGTCATTTTCAGTGGGTTAGACCCCGTTGACAGTAGAGTTTTAAGAAATGGTGAGTTAGAATTTTATGTTTGGAGTGAATACGAAGAGTATGTTTTACACTTTTCTTTTTCTCTCTTTTGTCCTCCTGGGTAAGTTTGTTATTTTTGCAAGTAGAAGCATTCGTCATACCTTCTACTTGGCCATGAGGTTCAATATAATTATAAAAGAATAAAGAAAAGTGAGAGGAGCAAAGTGATATTATTTGGTTCCAATTAGGTCAATTTCATAGCAGGAAGATGAACAAAGGGGAGACAAGAAAAGGAGGGCTTTACAGATTGACGGATGATTAAAATGAAAAGTAAAGAGGGTAACTTTGGTATTTACCTAATCATACATTTTGTGCTGTTTGATTAGCTACTTATTTACCTCATTAGAAAAAGGAAAAAGAGACAAATTTATTAGGATGCAAAACTGGGACGGTTATAAATTGTAAATGTAGCCAAGCCATGCAAGCGTTTTGGTTATACGCAGACAGTTGTGCCTCCAAGTGGCAGCTCAGTGAGTCATATTTGTCAGCCTCTGGTTTAAAGCTGAGGACCTGAATGACCTCACCTCACCAACCATGAAGAAAGAACAATTTCTGTGTGTTGGATTATTTGTATATTTTTATTTTTATTTTCGAAAAAGAAGAATTATGTGATATCAAAACAAAAATTTGGGGCTGATGCAAAAAGCAAAAAGGTTTTTTATTTTTATTTTTAATAGGATTAGGTGCAATGATCCAACAATTGGGTATGAAACTTTGCTTATCTTTCTCTAGTCTGACTAACAATAAGGGAGTATAATCAATGGAGATTTTGTAGTAACATCAAATTTGTTTAGTGTTTATATCGATGAGGGAAATTTTTGTTGTGCACATCAATTACATCAACGGAATTCAAAAAAACAATTTCTCAGCAGAAAAGAAAAAAGGAAGAAGAGAAATGTGTTTTCTTTCTTTTATTCTTGAAAATCTCTTGTTTTCCTTATCAGAAATCATCTTCGCAACCAAATAATATAATGCAGACCTTGAACGCGAAAGTTAACAAGAAAGAGATCATGGAGGACGTGCACATCTAATTCATGATCTTCCCCCATCTCTGCTTAATTTCTTACACTTTACACATACCTACAAACATGAGGAGGAAGAGATAGAATACCTGAATTTGAATCGATTTCTTTCTCGTCTTTCTTTAGTCTTCACATCTTCATACGATCTACACTCCTCCTATCTCTCTCCTTTCAGTCGCTTTCCTTTCAGGATTTTCTTTCTTGTGGTCTAGCGAATGTATATAAGCGCTTTTCTGACTCTAACAAAGTGCTACATTCAGTGACACTACGTGTGACTGCTTTGGTAACTAATAAAGATAGTAATTTAAAAATGGCAATACCTCTTGTTTTTAATCGATTTTGTCAACTAACTCTCATCGCTGTCAATCGGCTACGTAGATTTTGTACACGTTATAACTTAAATGAAAAGAAGTGGCGTTATTACCGAAAGAACATCATTTACTAGTCGTTTTGGTGTGTTGATCTTGTACTTGTGTCTATAATGACTTGTTTAGGCCAATGACCATTTTCTTCTAGTGGCATCTAGTCTTCATCCTATTGGATGAGGTCTTCTAGTTCAAATTTCATGGCCGATAGTTGTTAAAAGAAAAAAGGATGAATCATGTTATGAAGTAAAAGAGAAGGAATTATAATTGGAATTGGATGAACTACTCAAATACTCATCACAACTCAGGGGGTTTCCAATTTTTGTATTTATCAACAACTCCATCCGTCTTTTAAAAACGCCTAATTACAGTTTTACCCCTCTATTAAATTACCTAAATGAGCAATTTAAATATTAAAAACTTTGTGTTGTGATATTTATTTTCGCAATATTATAAGAGGTTCAACATTTATCTCTCATCTCATTGATAAAATCTGAAGAAAAATGGTGGCGGATTGAGTGATATAGGGGTAGACCAAAGTCGCCCGAAGTGAACCTGTACTAGAAGATGAATGTTCCAACAACCAGGTTCCAAGAAAAAATCACTTACCACAGCATCCAAATCAAGTTGTAATGGAGACAAAGGGGCCACCAAAATACCAGATAACAACCCCACAGTTTCCCCCTATCTAACATGAGACCAGAGAAGCCTTCCTCAAACAGGAGCAAAAATGACCAGAAGGGCCAGTGCCTAAGAAATCATTCAAATTATGATTTGCCAATGTGAATGAACATAAATAGTGACTTATTATAAAGAAGAGCTATAAAAGATGCAACCAGGGAAGAAGCTAATATCATAAACACTAGATCAGCAACTACTTGTATTCATTCAATATCAAAACTGGGGGAAACTGAGACAACCGCTTGAACTCTAGTGACAAAAATGATATGAAAAGAGACAACGGAAAACGCAAAAAACATTTTAAAAAAACGTATGATTCGTATTCAAAAGCATCAACTGTTGGTAAATACAAACTACACACCTTTCTCTCATCAAATATACACAAAAATTTCTTTTCTATGACATCGGTTAATCAAAAAAAGCTATATACAGTGCTCCTCTTCATCAGCCTTGCACTGCCAGGACCTGCAAGTGATCTAAAAATACTTGCAAGCTCAAATCATCAGTAAAAATGATATCTGAGCCATTAGAGTATGTTGAATTTTGGGTAACAGATGGATTCAACTTTGCAAGAAGAAACCTTGCCTGGCTACCATGCTGGTCACATTTAATAAGCCTAGGTGCAGGAACTCGGTCAGCCACCAACTGCTCTGCATCTATTTCCGGGGCTTCCAACAGCTTCCTCAAATTCTCATGGTTTGGGTCCTTGTCATACCCAAGCTTCCTCCATTGAGCAATTTTGGACCCGTAATGAATAACCACATGGAAGTATGAATCAAAGAGCAAAATAACATCTGGAGATATGGAGCGGACATCTAGGAGGACGGGAACGGGTGGACCATCGAAGGAATATTGGAAAAGTGTGGGTTGGATCATGATAAGAGAGCCCACCACCCCCTCACGATTCAGCATCAGCCGGAAGAAAGCTGTCTCATCCGGACTACAGTTAAAGACATCAATAAACTGAGACCTCCTCAAGTAATACATGAATTGAGGAAACAGGGAGAAGTTGGATGTCAAGCGGAAAGAAGATGGATCTTCCTCAGCGTAGTCTCCAAATTTGGAAGCAAATTGGATCAACGTGTCATCCAGCCATCTGATAACATCTCGAGCAAAACAAGTCTCGGCTCGGTGAATAGCAAGTCTGGCTATCACTGAGGCTGCTGCTTCTTGATCAAACCCAGCAGCAATTTCTGGTGAACGGTTCCCAACCCATCTTCTTGCAGCAGTTGTCACCCTTTTCCGGACTCCCATGTTCCCATATCGGTATCGTGTTATGAACTGTATGAAGAATGCCGACCCAGGTTGAACATTCTGCTCATTACTCACTTGGAAGAAAAAAGCAATGCATGTTTTATTGGTGATTGTACCCAACTTCCACACGTAGGTACCACCCTCCCCAATCTCACTGCTACTCACTAAATTGTTGACTTTCCGAAGAGATACACAAGGACCTAGGGCTCCACAGATTTTAATATCTTTAGTGGTCACTATCTCAATAGTAGCATCCAAATACATCTTCAAATACCCCTCTTCGTCATGAGTAAAAATGTGGCGCAAACATTTTCTGAATTGATTTGACGCAAATGATTCACCTAGCATCATTAAACCACCGGAACTCTCAACAGGGGTTTTCAGCTCTGCCACTCCAGCTTGATCAAGAGAACAAGCAAACAAATCGAGAACAATAGATGCATCAGTTAACCTCTGCGACACTTGCCTATAGAAGCTGCAAGATCTACCATAATAAGGTGTGTGACCATTGATGAGGTCTCGGTGAGTTCTGATGGAATTGCCTAGATTTGAATCAACAATAATTCCTGGACCCAAAGTTGCAGGTCCAGAAGTGAAGACCATGATCCTGGAGCCCGTGCTCACAAAGCATCCTTCCAGAAGTCCAACTGCAGCTGATATTGCTACTCCTGTAGACCTTAGTGGGCGATGGCCAGGCTTGCCTAGAAGTGAAGAATGGATCTCTTCAATTGCAGTAGTGATGTTGAACTCACATTCAGATACCGGTACCAAAAAGCCCTGCTTTTGATTAACTGACATCTTTCCGAGTTGCTGGTATGTTGGTCGTTTAATGCCCAGAAATTGTTGGGTCTAAGAGTTCAAAAAAGTGCAACGCATTAAATTCCTATTACACACATGATGAGTTAACACTTCTATAAGCAAACTCAGAAATTCATATTAAGGCACAGGACACTCTATCAGGAAGAATAAAAGCAGAAGTAAGCTGGATCAATTGGCCTAGAAGAAATTTCAACTTCTGACCAAACATGGAGGCCAATGCTTAATGGGCAGGAGCATTTCTATTTTTTGGGAACATTCAAGAAACTGAACCTGAATGGCAATGAGATTTCTACAGATACCAAAATTGCTGGAAGTAGTATAACTTATTGGTTAAAACTCAACTATTCTCAAGGTATTAACTACAGACTACCAAATGGACTGCTTCAAAATTAAACTCCTAATTCTACATACTTCCACAAAACGTTTAAAATCTTCTAAACTACCTAAAGCAACTCATTCATATCCAAGCATTATTACCCCCAATACAAAGCACCTTCATATTGAACCATGCACTGAAAGCTAAAGAAGATAATTAGAAGCACGAGCAATATAACTTCTAATGCACATTTCTACTTTAACACCAATATGCCAAGTGAAGAAGAACCAAGTACCTGATGTGATGAAAGCTCCCGTGCTCCGTGAAACACCACGGCCCTCGAGCACTCTGAAAACCCAAGATCATGAACTCGAACCATTGAATCAAACGTGACCAGACCCACCAAAGCAGTCTCTGGGAGTTGCTCCACAACAAGCAAGAGCTCATTTTTAAGAGCCCCAAGCTCCTCCCCAGACGTACAGGCGTCTACAACGAACACAAACGCCGGTCTGACCCCTCTCGGATCTCCATCCGGCAGAGAAGAGGGAGCCGTCGACACCATAGACGACAACGACAAGGAAGACGAGGACAACCCATTTGCCCAGTTGTGGTTGGGGCCGGAATTCGCAACTGGGTTCGCGGTTTTGGCGTACTCGACTGCGCTGTAAGTCGGGAAAAGCTCTGCGGGGAGATTTGTCTCTCCGATGTTAGAGTAAGAGTGAGGGAAGGAGTTCTTGTGGAGGCAAAACGAGCAGAACCAGATGCGAGACGTGTATTCGACCCGGGCATATGGGTTCAATACGGCGCCGCATTGGCGGCAAGTGACTGGGTCGTAGGGAAGTACTGGGAGCTCAGCTTGTTGCATCAATGGCGTGCACATGATGCTCAAAGGGATCACTAGATCTGTGCTCTCGGTTTTTGAAGCTGGCCATGAGTTCCAGCACCATCGGAGGCCTTCGATTGCCTCCAATTCCACGAAATCCATGGAGAACTCAACGAGGGTTTGATAAAGTTTCAGCCTTTCTGTTTGGTTTCATGGGTTTGCTTGTGGGTTAGAGAAACCCTAACCCCAAACTGAGGCAAGGCCAGAGATCCGGCCGGCCACGTTTCTCGTCTGAGTATATTTTAGTTGAGTATGGAGGGTGGTCTTGTTCTTTTTCGTGTGTATTTTTGTTTGTGTAAATTTCTATTTGGGTTATTTCTACCTTGTAAAGCGGGTATGGCTAATGGGTTATTTCTATTTGTAAAGCGGGTAAATTTCTACCATGATGAAAATGAACAGTAAAGAGGGTAAATTTTTTTGGTTTTCACCTACTGGATGCATTTTGTTAGGATGCAAAAGTGGGACGGTTATAATTGTAAATGTAGGTGTAGCCAAGCCATGCAAGTGTTTTGGTTATATGCAGACCTCCAAGCGGCACCTTAGTGAGTCATATTTGTCAGCCTCTGGTTTAAAAATGAGAACCAGATGACCTCACCTCACCAACCATGAAGAAACAACGATTTCTGTGTGTTGGATTATATGTACAATTCTAATTTTCCTTTTTCTAAAAACAAGAATTATGTGGTATAAAAAGAATTGTATGTTTTTTTGTGATAGGAATTAGGTGCAATGATCAAACATTTGGGTATGAAACTGTGACTACGTTTTTCTGATCAAACTAGCAAGAAGGGGGTATATCAATGGAGATTGGAATAACATCAAATTCTGAGTGTTTATATTGGTGAGGGATCATCTTTGCAACCAAAGAATATAATGCAAACCTTCAATGCAAAAGCTAACAAGAAAGGGATCATGGAGGACATGCACATCTACTTCATGATTTTCCCCCATCTTTGCTTAATTTCTTATACATGACACATACCAAGGAGAGGAAGAGATATAATATGTGAATTTGAATCGATTTCTCGTCTTCTTCTGTCTTCACGTCTTCATGCCATCTACACTCTTTCTATCATTCTCTTTTTTGGATTTTCTTTCTTGTGGTATGTGTATAAGCGTTTTCTGACTCTGACATAGTGTTACATTCAGTGACACTACGTATAACTGTTTTGGTAACTAATAAAGCTATTAATTAAAACCATAGCAATACCTCTGGTTTTTCGTCGATTCTGCTAACTAACTCTCATCGGATAAATTTTTGTATGTTCTAGTACCATCCAATACACATGGGACATGTGGAAATATTTTATTTTTAGGTTCTATGTGTATTGGAAAATATTTCCACATGTCTCATGTGTCGGATGGTACACCTAGAACATACAAAAAATTACTCCTCTCAGCACTGTCAATCGACAATGTAGATTTTGTGGACGTCATAACTTGAATGAAAAAAAGTGGTATTATTATTAAAAGAAGATCATTTACTAGTCGTTTTGGTGTGTCGATCTTGTACTTGTGTCTATAATGACTTGTTTGGGACAATAACCATTTGTTCTAGTGGCAGTTAGTCTTCAACCTATTGGATGAAGTCTTTGAGTTCAAATTTCATGATGGATAATTGTTAAATGAAAAAAGTATGAACATTGTTATAAAGTTTAATAGTAAGTTAATATGTTTAGTAACTTGGAAGTCATGAATTTGAAATCAATAATTAAATTTGAAATTGAATCAACTACACCCCTAATCAATTTAATTACTGATTTTTTCAAGTGTCCAAAGACCAACTGGCCTGACTTTATGGACATGATGAGTACGGTTCTGAACCTTGGGAGTGTAAAGCAATAAATAACAACGCCTAAACTGCACATTGATTTGGTTTCTTTACTGGTTTTAGCTCCAAAATTGGACCTCTTAACCATCATTCAGTTCAACTAATAATTAGAAGTCTCCAAGGAGTAAACCATCATCACCAGCTTCTAAGCCATCCAAGGACTTCAAGATTGACACAAGCAAAAAAGGCATTCGGAAAACAGATCATAGGCATAAACAAATGAGCAATTTGAAGAATGCATTAAATTGTTGCTGAGTACTGGTACAGTATTGTATGTTTGATTGAATACTTGTGTGTAACAGAACCAGAATTATGAACTAAAATCAAGAAATATGTATTCATTCTGTAATTGGTTTTACAGTCTGTTGGTGACTGAATCCAGTTAATCAAGTTGTTCACAATTATAAAACTTTGCAATATCCTTGGATTAGAAAGGCTGCTGCCAGATCTGATCCGATTTAAAATTTCCCAGAGTGAGACTTTTCCCTCTTCAACCCTAACAGCCATCATCGACAGTCTTTAAGGGCAAAAGAATTATCAAAATTCCTTCACATATTTGCTAAAAACCCTTGACACTATTTCTCAGACGATCCAAAAGATCAATCTCAGAATTCCTTCATAAAGTTCATGACCCGACCAACCCCTTGAAGCGAGCATATGACATGATAATTATGAACACACAAGCACAGACTATTCCCGTGACAATGCAAACCTGTCAATTCAAAAAGATTCAATCTCAGACATGTTCATTAAAGACATACTAGACAAGATTGCCAGCAGAAATGCTTTGCATACCCATTTGAACATGTATCCGTAACCATCATTCCACGTATAAGGGATATTCATGCCAAAAATTCCAGCCACCAATGAAAATATGGCCATACATAGAGTCCCAGCACTGAGAAAAAGCTCAAGCTGTACCATGAAACGTGAAGAAAATAAAAAGCACGTCTTACACAATACAGAATACAGATACTCCAGATTTAGAAAGGAAAAAATAAATAAAAGAAAATAATCCAGCATGGTAATCAGATATACTGCATAGGATGAAAAAAACACCTGAATCAGCTGATTCCTGTGGTTATCAAGCTGAAATATGGAAGCACAAGTTATATCAGAAAACTTTAGTATGTTGCCATAAAAATTTAAGATTGATGAATCAAGTACCTGAATATTGATATAATCCTCTGTATCATCAATATATTCACGCAGCTGCAAAATATCATATTTTAACAGTCAAATTTGTTTAGTATATAGTGTAAATAATGTGGAAAATATGTCTAAATGTTTTCCACGCAAATAACTGTAGGTCTATGAAAGTCCTTTTCTATTGACACACGTGGAAAATTCTTGTTGGACTATTTACATGCATTTAAGGGAATTTTTTATGTGTTCACTCAATATCATCCCCTTCCTATCAAATTAAGGTGTTGAAGACATAATAAGATGAGGTTCATGTTTCCAAGTTTCTTTAAAGTCTTTATCCTTCTCTTTAGCCTTCTAAAACTCAGATCTTTGCACAACATTCCTATGTCCCTTCCTTAATAGTGTATATAGAAGACCACTCTGTACACCCTCACTTGCAGGTTCTCAGGGTCATTATAATTCTGCTTTGATCAGTCAAAATCATGATGATTCATAACTCTGTTTTTTATTGGTTCTAAGCTGACCTAGAAATCACGGGTATTCCAGAAGTCACAATCTTGGGACTTGGGATTCTGTTAAAGGTAATATGTATAATGGCTTCGCTGGATGTGTTGAAGGACCAGCTTACTCCATAGACATGTACCATTTAAAATCTTTTGGTGGTTTCTTCCCCCTATCCCCCCCCCCCCCCCCCCCCCCCCCCCCCCCCCCCCTCTCCCAACCCAAAAAAAAAACAACACTTCAGATTCAAATGTCCTTGAACCTTAACAGGTGTGCATAGGGTCGAAGAGTGTTGGAGGGAGGGATAGGGTGAGATAGGCTAGGTCCTAGGTTCAATTCTCCTAAGTATGCATCTAAAACAGCACATACCGTAGCTAATTTGTTCAAGGTGCCATCAATCTGCATAAAATAAGCCTGCAAAGGTATTATTAGCAGATTAGTATATACACAGCTTCACTAAAATAAGACACAGAAAAGTATGCCAATGTTATACCTCAAGTAACATTTCAAGTTCCTCAACGTCATTCTCATCTCCACGAACAGTGGCAATGCTTGCTCTACTTGCCCGAGATATTTTTGAGCCTATGGTAGGGGAGGCAGGATACCAATTGGGAGGACCAGAGACACTAACTGGTGAAGATGCACCAGCCAACTTTCTTGACAAGTAAAGGTCAGCCATATCATCGTCATCATCCAACAGCTGTTCAAGCTCATCCCTTACCTGCAATAAGTAATACAGGATTACTTATTACCATGATTTACAGTAGTAAAGAGGAAACTAATATGTTTTCTTTAATCAAACTCTGACTGGGAAAGTTTGTCTCATCTCAACTCCATACCACAAATTTGGATAGCATAAGGCTGCAAATTCAATATGAGATACACAGCAGAAGAATGTGGCTTACAGACATAAAAAGAAAGTGCATTCATAATGATACTAATTTAGACTGCAAGTATGAAGAAAACCTAATTGCTAGCTTTAGCGCCCACCCAGCACAGCTCTTGGGGCACCCAGAGAGGGCTTCTGTGAAGCCATTGTTTTAGGCATTTACTCTTAGAAGTAATTTTGTGCCCCCACAGAAGCTGAAATATGCATATTTGAAAGGCTAAAATTTGAAGCTGTTTCTAGTTTTCATTGAAAAAATATATTTTAAAAAAGATTGTGCTGGAAGTTTCTATTTAAAATGTATTAATTTACAGAGTTACCATTAAATTTTAACTAAATTTCATCCATGTCCTTTTTAATAACCCAAACAAAAAACGACTTATTGTTATCAGAACTTTAGAAAAAGCTATACTAACAACTTAACTTTGCCACAAAACATCTACTTGTCAGATATGGATGACTGAGAAGTACAGTGGATGCACCTCAACCATTCATTTCTCATCTAACAATTGACCAAGGAACTTAAATATTAAATACATGTATGAGTGCTCAAATGCATCTAGCAAACTTATTAGTCATCTAAACAATGTTACCTTCATGAATCAAACATCTTATCTTATAATGTAATGCTTAGAAAATAGAATGAGGACAGTGGGTGGCATTGAGTATAACTACTCTCTCATCTTCAACACACACTAATGTGACGCAAATAGCATCTTTCAGTGATTGCATTAAAGTTCACTAACCCTCACAAGACACATGAACTACTATGTAATTATTCACACCCTACAGGAAGATCATATACCTTTTGTACGCGAGCAGTCAACCTTGTCATTGCACTCTTCAATTTACGAACCCTGTCCAAATTGCGGCTGCTAATCTGCAGGTTGCATTGGATCAAAATATTGTCCAAAAGTAGGCATAAGAAGCCATTCTATCATGGTTACAGATGCTAAGCTTAGAAAACCATGCAGGCAAGTATGCAAGCCAAAATTTCTCTGAACCCTGATATCTAGAATCTCTTCTATGACACAATTTCACACAAAGTGGCAGACAATTATCCCTAGACTTCATCATGTAGTGCTTTAAGCAGAATTTTAGCATGCTGACAACTGAGACACCTAAAACTACTATCAGTGAGTTACCTAAATCAAACCAAACCAGTGAATGGAAATACTATATTCCTGTTCCCTTTCTTTATTTATTATTTTTCCATTTAGCATTCCCCAAGAGGTGGAGACAAGCAACAACCATAGAGCCCATACAAAGACGCAAAGAAAATGAGAGAAAACACAAGTCCTACCTTTGAGGTAAGCTCATCTAAAGCAGGATAAGCAGCAGTCTCCAGTTCTGTCGTACGTGCAGAAAGATAACTGCAAATTGCTTCCAAAGCTACCTCCAAGGCCCGGAACTCAAATGGAGACTCTACATTGCATAATCTAGATCACTCAGAAGTCAAAGAATAAAACCAGAACTCAGAAGTTTTGATGTTTAAGATGTTAGTGATAGATGCAAACATTTGTATATTTCCAAGAATACTAAAGACAGACACAACTCATCAATGATAAACTTTGAAATTACTAAGTCATACCATCTTCTTCACCGGCATCTACATCAATTTGCCCAGCAGGGAACTCTTTCCCATCTTTTTGGCTTTCATGTATGGCATTTACAGGAGGCAACCGTCTTTGAAGCTCTTCAACAACAGGGATAACATTTTCATCCACTGGATCCCGAAGCAGCACCTATCCCATAACAAACTAACAATCACCATCTGCAAAAGAACCCCAACTCATAGAAAGTTGAAAGCACCACATTTTTTTCCTCTCTAGAACACCAGGACATAATATAGGTTTGATTTTCAATGTCCTGAATTTGCACCATCTATTTAGTTGCTCCTCTCGCTTAATTCCTCCTCTCTCACAACAAACAAAAAAAAAAAAAAAAAAAAAACCAATTACCCGGGTTGACCATTATGTACTGGTCTCTTAAAATACAGGTACTACTTTCGTCTCTTAAATCAGAAATCTTTAACTACGCAACAAAAAAAAAAAAAAATACTAAAGAGGGCTATTCAGTTCTCTGACTCCTCAAAAAACCCAAAACAAAATCAATTCAGCAGAAGAAGAAAACGAATTTATTTAGAGAAACAGAGAGAGGCTAACCTCTTCAGCAGTGATTATTGCTTTAATATGCTGCACACCCAGAGACAAACAAACCCAATTCAATTAACAGCAACAACAAAAACACAGCAGCCAAAAAACTTTTAAAAAGCAAAACAACAAAATTGAAAATTGAAAGAGAAGAGCACCTCCAAATTGAGAACTATAGCCCTGTCGCGGCCGAGAATGGTGGAAGGGTAAGAAAGCAAAGGATCGACAATGCGAAGATCGCGAGCGTGAATGTGAACTCTGTGCATGATGGCATACTTGTCCACGTCCAAGACTGTAGCTTTTCCCGTACAGTCCAGCAAAACCCAACTCCGAGACGACTTCTTCTTCACGGCCACCACCGCTTGTGGGTCCACCGGCACCACTTCCCCGTCTCGAGCCATATCTGACCATCCCCGAAACCCAATCTCACTCACATCCCTCACTCTCAATTTTCAACAAAACCAACAACTCCTAATCTCAATTATAATACAATTTAGTTTGTATCATTGAGAATTTTAATGGGAAGTGAAGAACTTGGCGTGAGAAAAGCCAGGGGCGGTGAGTTGTTTATGTTTATTCAATATTTTATTAGTATTTTCGTTTTTGTGTGATTGTTAATTTTGGGGATTGGATTATTAGGGATTTGTATTGGGGCAGTTGTGTTTGTTGGGAGAGAAAAAGCAGTTTGGGCTGTGGGTTGCGTTTATGTTTAGGGTTCATTTGGTGCGGTTTGTTAGGGGTGAATTGGGGACTTGACACGCAAGAAAAGATTTCTCAAAAAGTAAACAAGAAAGAGTGTGGGGCTGCTTGGACCACAGGATTTCTGAACCTGCGGATCTATTCTTCTGGGGTGGGACTCTGTTCTCGGACGAAACCACCCTTTGACGGTTGACTGATCATATCAACCGTATTCAAATTCTCGTCATCGTCTCGACGAAACGAATCAATTATATCACATGACTGTATTTTAAAACTACACAATAATTTGTTAAATTTTGCAAAACGTATCTTTACAGCCTAAAAGGCAAAACAAAATATTTCGTCGCATAAGATTTCGTAGTTATAATGACATCAAGGCCTTTTTAAGAGAGCAAATCAAATCTGTGTTTGGTTCAAGTTGATGGGCATGCATTTGGTTTTCTGATCACAAACAGAGTGTTCCAAAAAAGGCAAACAATACGATAAGAGGTAAAGTCTAGCTTTTCTTTTTCAGAAAACAAACAAACTTGTCTATTTGGGTGTATGTATAAGCCGTCCCCAAGTCTTTTGTTTTTCTAATGAACCTTTTCCAGTCCATGGGATTAGATTTTTTTTTGTTGGCCCTTTATCAAACGTAAGCTAACCAACCAAAACATTTATTACTGTCCTTTTTTGCTTGTCTTGCTTTAGTATCGTATGGTTCATGCTTACATACCAAGGAACAAGTGGCTATGGTTAGAGGATGGTTCAATTCAAAAGCTTTCTTATTTCTCCACTTTCACCTATTCCACCAAACATTAACAAATAAAGAGGCCTACATGCACTATTTGTTTTTTACACTTAGGATACTATTTGTTTTTTACACTTAGGATTGGTTGTGCCACCGTACAACGTGTGAAAATAGACATATTTAATACGATGGGTTCGTAACATTTTTGTGTGTATAGATAAAAGCACTGTAATGGGTCAACAATGTCTAATCCAATGAAAAAGAATATTGACTTGTAAACTAATGGTCTCAAGTTCGAACGCTCATGACACTTTGATTGTGTGTGTGTGAGAGAGAAACTCTCTCCTTTTTTAATTTAGACTATCACTTATATTAAAAATATAAAATAAAAAACAACCGTAATGGGTTAAATACCCTTTGTATTAAAAATATCCGGATTGGCATAGAAGCACCTTTTACATCGACATTGAGGAGCTTGAGGACTTGTTGAGTGTGACATTAAGAGCACTTCCATCAGTTAGACCTTTGCCATGGCAAGGGCAGCCCTAGGGCAACTACTATTCATGTGAATAGTAGATGCCCTAGCCCCCCCCAGCAAAATGTTTTCCAGCAGTTTAGGCTTACCATGGCAATATATTCATTTTTTTTTTTTTTTTTTTTTTTTTTTTTTTTTTTTTTTCTTTGTTCACTTTTTACTTAAAATTAATTTGTATAATATTTTCGGATAAGATTTTTGGGTTCCTACGTGTCAAAACCATTCATTAACAATTATTAGAAATGCAAAACAAAATATAAATATTGCAAGAAACATTCATATTAATAATGGAAATACAAGAAATATTAACAAAATATATAAATTGCAAGAAACATTTAATTAAAATTAATATGACATAGAAATTAATAAAACGAAAATTACAAATAATTTACCTCACAACTTTGTTTACTTAAACAATTAATTTGGATAATATTTTCAGATAAGATTTTATTTTATTACTTGTATTGGTTGGTATTTATAGAAAAAAAAATGTATGAGGATTTGGTGTTAAAAGTGAAGAGTATTGGTTGGTATTTATAGACACTGGCGGACCTAGAATTTTTTTAGCGGAGGTGCAATATTGACTAAGTATGAAAAATGGTTTTTCGGAATAATCATTTTCTCAAGATAATTTTTGGTGGCTTTTATTCCTTACACATCAAATAAGAAAACTTGATTTTATGGGATTTTAGTATGAAGTATATATTGACTTAATGAGCCATCATTTTTAGCCTAAATCGTATTTTGCACTAAAACCGATTTTTCATATCTTGATTTGGTGGGAATTTGATTTTTTAGTATTTTTATTTGAATCCAAATGGGGGGTACTTCCTTATTTACATTGTAAACTTAAGTAAATGGAGTAATATAAAAATAAATGAAAGTAAAAGGAAATAAGGTATAGATAAAAAAAAAATCAGTAATTTTTTGGTATTTTTTAAAATTTTTTTCCCTTTTTTTTATTTTTTTTATTGCACAAAAATTTGCTGCCGTTGGATTGGTAGAAAAAATATGATCGGAGAGCCCAGCGCGGGCCACGTGGACGAGGGCACTGTAGCAGTGTGTTCAAATTTTTTTTACTGTTGGTGCGTGCATTGCACGCGCTAACATTAAAATTTTTTTGAGAGCCACGCTGACATCAGCTCAGCCAGCAGGCAAGTGCTCGGGCCGAACCCCACCACGGGCCAGCCCAGGCTGCTGGCCCCCACCTCCTGCCCGGACTCCCTTTTGTTGCTGGAAACGCCAAAAAGCCCCAAACTCCCCCCAGCCCGCCCCCAGCCCGAGTTGCTGGAAATGCTCTAAGAGGTTGGAGTATCTCATGGACCCTTCTCTCCTTCTCCTATACGGATTGACATTGACCTTTACCAAAGTCCCCACGAATCTTCCTTCGTCCAAAAATCCTTCTGATGTAGGACTATTGCCATATAAGGAGATATTCCGGAGGTTGTCATTTACCCAGACGAAATCATGTGAACGATGCTCTTTATCTTTAATGATATAGACATCAAACTTACAAGAAAATAACGAAAAACAGCAAATGAGCCAGAGTCCAAGGCCAAGGAGTCCCAATACAAAGCTTATACAAAACTTTCAACTGAAAGGCCCAAAACCCATATTTAATTGGGTTTGGGCTTCACTTATGCAGCCACCCATGCACTGCCACTAATTCTGTTATGGAAAGTAATGTGGTAATTAATATGCTAATTAACAATTGGCTATAATAGTTTGTTTTTTATATTTTGATACCAGTGATATTGGTGGAGCGGGTTTTCTCTCACACTATCAAGGTGTGTGATTAGAACTTAAAACCATTTCCACTTAATTAGATCTCGTTGGCAACTATAATAGTTAAAATAGAACTATTTTAACCATATTTAGCGACCACTTTGGTTCCTCAAGCAAATATGCATCACTATAGTATGCAGTCAGAAAATTACCTCAAGAACTTACCATTTCGTTTGTTTCATTTTTCTATAAAACAAAAAGACGTATATCACTTTGTCAAAAGAATAAAAAAATGCTCAATAAAATAAAAAAATAAAGAAAAAGGAAAAGAGCAAACGGTTCTTTACGAAAGCGCCAACAAAAGCCTAAGCTCACCCCTGGTCAAGTCCAAGGCCCAAAATGTTGGGTATTTCGTACGGAGAGCTCTTCCTCTTGATCGGAGCCACAGCTGCTCTAGTCGGTACTCTCTCTCTCTACTTTTATTTGTCAATTCAAAAGAAATCTGCTTTATAGTCCAACATTTCTCTCAAACGTTTTTTTTTCTGAATTCTCTCGCATGTTGTATCGGCTCATGTGAGAAAGTTGGGCTCTAAAGCATCTTCATTTTCAAATTTGGTTCTGATTTTGTTTTAGGGAAGTCAAAAAGTCTTTCTGGGTTATCTGAGATGAGACAGAAACTGAAAATGCGAAGTTGGTTTGGTGTGTAATGGGTTGCTTGCAGGACCGAAGGATTTGCCTAGAATTGCTAGAACAGCAGGGCGGCTAGCGGGTCGGGCAATCGGGTATGTTCAGTTAGCTCGTGGCCAATTCGAAAATGTTATGCAGCAATCTCAAGCTCGTCAGGTACTTCTTTCTAAAAACTAAAACTCCTTATAAATGAATTAAAAGATTGACAAATTGATAACTGTCATCAGCTAACATGCCATTGAACCAAAAGCCCTTTTGTGTTAAATAATTTATGTCCATTGCATGATCTTTTAGGTTCATAAAGAACTTCAAGATGCACTGGCACAATTAGAGTCGATTCGATATGAAGTTCGAAGCATATCACTTATGAATCCTGGTCCTCTGACTCGGAAGCTGATGGACAATCCTCAAGACCTGGCTCCTACAGGTAATGGCACTATTCTTAGCAGCCATGCATTGTTGCCAAGTAATGTTTTTGCTTCTCAACTGATTGCCAGTTTATGTGTTTTCTTGTTAGGGGCCAATAGGTCACTTGAGAAGCCCAAGGAAGAGCTGAATTCAACAAGTACTGTGCTGAAGGTTTTAACATTACAATGTCTTGTTATAATAGCCCACTTTGCATAATGTTAAATTGCTTGTATATATCATTGGCAGGATAGAACCCCAGAGTCAGTTAATTTGCATAGCCAAGCAACTGCTTATGAAAGATTGGCTGAATCTGATGCCGTGAAGACTGGCTCTTTGAAGAGAAGTGCAGAGAAAGAGAACCTTAGCGATGAAAGTGGTCTTTTTGCTGTTCTCCCAGTTTCAGCTGAAAGCACTGGGATGCTACCAAATCCCAAGGGTAATAGTCTTCTGAATTATAACACTTCAAATTTATGATATCAATGACTTGTGGTTCTAATCTGAACACATACCACAGGGAGCAGTCTGGAATGGAAATTCCCTTTCTAATATCTTTAGAGACAACAAATTTTGAAATTTTCGTTTCTAAACTATATACTTTTCTACATTGTCCAGATTATCTTCAATAATAGATGTCATCATGGTGTGTGCTGCAAATCCTATGGTTTCTATGAATAATTGTCTTACTTATGCCTTTGTATGGTTGGCCAACAAAGATGTCACTCATGCTCATGGCCTAAATGTGTATGATTACTCCAATATGGAATTGATTTTGGTTGGTTGTGGTGGGTGTATTTGGGATTGCGAGGTCGCAATAAGCTGTTGGGTTAAACACATGCCATAGAAATAATCTTGAACTTTTACTGTACGTACCTTCTCCTTGATTACATAGCGTGTAAAATTTGCACATAAAATTCTTTATGCAAGATCCTTTGTTTGACAAGCACACAAATATAAGAAGTTGTTTCAACCTATAAGTTGAACATGCCATTCTTTTTCTTAATAGATTTTGCAAGTAGTAGAGCTTTACATCTGAGATTTATTTGTCCAAATAAATAACCCATGGTTGTGATGACAGAGAATGTTGAAGGATCAGACATTGTGTTGGAAGCGATACTTGAAGCGGAGGTAGCACGCAATGCCAAAGATTTCTTTTCACAGCCTGCAAATCAAATACAGTGAAATGAGAAGGTTTTGCTTTATATTCTCAAAGTGCTTATTTCTGGGCATTTTTTGTACTATTATTAGATATATAATTGGACAAGGTTTGTATTAGGGAATGCTCTGTTTCGTTGTAGATGTAATTGAACAAGGTTAAATTACTATTGTGAAGATGTAAAACTTTTGGAGATCTTTAAAATCGTTATTTATTCTATCATCACAGGGACAACTTTCATCATCTTCATCATGTTGAATAATTGAATTTGAATATTTGATTAGCTAGCTAAGTAATGTTTAAGTTATAATTAACAAGTTTCAAGATCGAGATTCGAGGGTATATGTCGAGTGATGTTAAGCACTTTAGTGAGCTTCTTATTTACAGGTGATTGATCGAGCTTGCTCCTAAATATTGTTTAACTAAACACCTCTCCGGCATGATCAGCTGAAAGATGAACATGCTCTTTCCTTGTTGAGAAACAGAGAATATATAGGGATTAGTTTTGAGAGAATTACCGGCTACAATGATGGCTGCACTGGTTTGTTTTTTACAAAAATTAGGATAGGGATCATGGGAGAGGAATAGTATTGGGTCAAGACTGGGCTCAAAAGTAAAGCCCAAATTGAACTCTTTTAAGTTGAGTTCGCTTGTTCTAATACTGGGTTTGGACAGGGCCATTACCCACTAGGGCTATGCCCTTTATTTGTTGAAGTATATAAATGAAATGTTAATATTATCATCATTTTTTTTAACACAACCCATAGTCTAAACTATTCTAATTCAATCTAATCTTCTAGAAGGAGGATTCGAACTTGGGTGCAAGAGTCCGAGTTCACCTCATGAGCAACTACCCTAACACACTTTTGCAATACTCCAATCATTTTAAGTACATAAGATATGACGGGGGACGAAGGTGGAGCCAACTTTGTGGTACTTTTGAATTAGAGTAGTATATATACGTTATCAGTTGATCATTTACCTATTGTGAAAACTATCGATACTCTGAATCCGGTGTATTTAATAGGAGATGTATTAGACTTCTTAATCCAATAATCCGAATATAATCCGAATCCGGTAATCCGATTATAAATGGATTCGAATATGAATTATAGTTTATCTGATCCGATAATAATATGATCTGACTTATTATGAAGTATAATTTATTAGTTTTTCTATGCTTTATATTAATATTTTATATGTGAAAATGAGTAATTTTAGTTTTATTTGCACTAAGAATACACTTAAAACTAATTTTTATGATAAAATATCCAAATTGATATAAAAAGTAAATAAATACAATAAAAGAACATCGCTACTAATGAAATTTTTATTTTTTGTACACCTCAAAATAAATCTGATAATAATCCGATCTAAATTTGATTCATAACTAATATGAAATGATAGGTGCAATCCGATAATCCGAATTCGATAATCCAATTATAAATTAATTTGGATTTGAATTGAGGTATATCCGAATCCGATCCATTTATAGTTCTAACCCTAAGCACTGGGTCAGCCATAAATTAATGGTAAGTGGGGCACCTTAGATAATTCAAGCTATTTTTTTCTGTGGAAATTTAAAGTAGTTTTTAACTTATTGCAAAATTATTTTGGGATTTCTTCTCAGTTTTTTTTACTTTCACATTTGTATTCTAATACTCTCATTCGTACTAACAAGTTAAGGGATGGAAGAAAAGGGTTTAGGGTGAGATAAAGAGAGAAGAAAAAATAACAAGGAAAAAAAATTGGGAGCCATTTTATAGTTATCCTTCGGGCGATATTGGCCCTATTTGGTGGGGTAGACTTAATTGGATTAACCTTTCTACATTACACTGGACTAGTTGGGATATGACTAGATTTTAAGAAGTTGTTTGGTGCAATACAACACCAAAGTTGAGATTAGTATGCCATTTTTTATTTATAAATATTCTCATTTCCAAATTAATTACAACAAAATCAATTTTCAATCCAACTGAAAAAAGTTTAAATATAAAAAGGAGGACTCCCAACGTTTAGGCGCCATGTGTCAATACAAGTCTACTTTTAAAAAAAATTAAAAAACAGAGTATAGCCGTGCGGCTGTACTGTTTTTGTTTTTTAAAAAAATTGACCCTCCAGCAATTAAGAGTCACGTGTCCCAAAAAAGTATAGCCGCCTGGCTATAATATTTTTAAAAAGAAAAACATAGTACAGCCGCACGGCTATACTATATAAGTTGTCATCTTCAGTCTTCTTCTTCTCAGCTAACTCCCTTCATATCTGAAAGAAAGAAAAAAAAATATCTACAAAAATTGCAAAATTAAAAAATATATATATATAAATAAAGAGGAAGAAGTTATGAATCTACCTTTGACCAATTTTTTCTTCCACCATATGCCTTTCGTCCAAGATCTGAGGTTTAGATTTGGCAATGGAAAAGATATGGCAGAAGGGAAGAGAGAGAGGATCTGAGGTAAGAGAGAAGAGGAGAAGAGAAGAAGGGAAGAGAGAGAGAAGAAGAGAGAACAGAGAAGCGAGAGAAGAAGAGAGATGGCTGGAGGCGTGCTCTCTGGGTTCGAAACCCACGTCTAGGGTTGGGTTTCTAAGCCTGGGACTTGGATCCAAGGCTCATATTTAGCCCTAGACACACTTTAAGCCCACCAAACAATGGTTAGGATTCATGTCCAGCCTACCAAACAAGGCCAAAATTATCCCTTGTTCAAAACATAGAAAGAGCTAACAATAATATAGCTTTTAATTCGTGATGAAGAACCGAAAACAAAGTTTTAAGAAAGATTAATTTAAAAATATCAACAGAATTTTTTTTTATACAAGCAATATTATCGGGAAATGGAGGAATCAAACATAGGACCTCATGTGCAAAAGTAAATGTTCTTAACCACTTAAACTACAAGTTCTTTATAAAATATCAATAGATTTTTGTCTTCTTAGCAATTAAAAAAATATCAGATATACAAAAACCTATATAAGAATCTCACCAAACAGATAATCATGTAAGAAATGTGTTGGGGGATCACTTGATAATCATGTAAGAGATGTGTTGGGGGATCACTTTGAGAAGGGGGCAAGTGCCCCCGATTGGGCTAAGGTGGTTCCTCCCTGAATATGATTATAGTTAGGTAAAAGATTAGAATGATATAGTCACTATACATTGTCTTTCCTCTCTAACCAACCCATTTGATCGATGACCCAACAAACCTCATCTCAACTTTTTATCATTTTTTTTTTTTTTTTTTTTTTTTTTTTTTTTTTTTTTTTTTTTCCATTATCAAATATAGGCTATATGGCTTTGGGCTCGAGGACTTGTTACGTTAATTATAGCAAACTTCTTTTAGTCCGGAAAAGAATGGTTTTCAATTCAATCAACTTTTCTAATACCAAATCGGTGTTTGTAAATCCTCACTTGGAAACTTTAAAAAAGAGTGGTTTTGTTGCCTTCCGCGATCATTCGGTTCTAGTTATTTTATCAAACTATAGTACCAACCTGTCAAAAATAATTGTTTTCCAATGAAAGATATGACATGGGGCTGCTACAATGTCAGATCCAAGAAATCCATATATGGTGGAAGAGAGAGAGAGAGCCCATAGACTAGTGATTTGATTTATCTTGAAAAGATAAGTGCTACAAAATTATTGGCCTAAATCAAATGTTAGTGATCCCATAAAATTCAATCATGTTATAAATTAATAAAAATATATATACTGCCACGTTGGGTGAGTCAAATTGAACTGAACTGAACTGAACTATTTCAATTAAAATGAACAATAATTATGCCGGCATGGTCTAGCATAGTAAAAAAAGACATTATCCTGCAAACCAATGGTCTTAAGATTCGAATTTCCATGACACATTGGTAGTATGTGTGAGAAAACCTCATTCCCGCATCGTAACTTAAGCAACAACAAAAAATATCGAATTCTGGTCCCAATATTAAAAAGGTCTTATTAAAATAGACAACAATCCAAGATGAAAAAAAGTGTCATCTATAACTACCATATCCCATTATAGAACTCAAACCACGTTCACTTAACACAGCCTACATATTCACCAGTCAGATACAGATATTTGATTATCATGAATTTATAAACAAATGGAATATAAATAAATGGCCATAAACGAAAGCCCCATCAACATGCACATGGCCTTGTTCCCTTCGCTCACTTGCCTCATCAATCTATTAGTACCTTCCTCAGGAAAATTATTACAAAAATGCAATAAATTATTGGATACATCAAAAGGAAATTGATCAGAAAATGAATGAAGAATCTTTTCGAGGGGAAAAAAAGTAGCATTAATTTGAAGGAATAAAACACACAACAACAATGACAACAAGGCCAACAATAAAAAATAATGGGGGTAATTATAAAGAAATCCAATAGCAATAAACGAGGCAGACACTAGGTTATGTTTATTGCTTCTTGTCCATTACAAATGTCCAGCATCTTTACTATCTATATACCATCGCATAAAAATACAGACACATTCAGAGAAACACACCCTGCTCCATCTCTTGGACACAGCGTGCGCTTAAAATACTAGACCGACCGATCGAGCTCAGCTTCTGTTTTTGCATTTCTCCATAGCCCTTGGAGCTGAAAATAATCGAAACAAAAATAGTATTAGTGATATTTAGATGAATAAAGTTAAATTTTCTGGTACGTAGTATGTGGATCCGAACGGTGCCATGGTATTTTGAACCGAACACCTGATGACCTTTAGTTATGTCACAAAGCCAACAAATCTTGGCAACTTATATAGAGAATTTTAGTAGTAATTTTATGTGGGCACATACCAAGTCCAATTGCTTCTGATCCTTTCATTATTCGCAGGCGCTTGCACGAATCAACAAACATCCTGCATATACAAAGTGAAATAAGTTTGTCAAATAAGTGTAGCAGGATTTTTTTAATGCTCTTAAATTTTTTTTCTTCTTATGTTTTTCTGATTATTATTTGATTTAGGGTTTGTAGAAATAAGGGATGAAGAACTTACTCCCACGGAACGTCACCCACGAGCATCCAATCGCCATCCTTATCCTCATAGGTTGGCACATACTCAGAACTGTTTAGTAGATCCATCAACTTGCTCTCATTCATGAAATCTATCATTCCTTGGGGCCCACAGTAACCTGCAAATATTCAATCCCAATATGATAATTAATTAATTAAAGAGTTAATAAAATTAATAATAAGGAAGTGACAATTAACAAGCTATAGGTTGTAATGATCATATACCAACAAACGATTTCATCATGTCCACTTAAAAAAAACAATTGCTACTCAAGATCCAAATCAAGGTAATTCCACAGTTTCTAAAGGAGGAAATTTAATATACTTGTATTATTATTTTTAAACTCTTTCTTTTTCTGTACGTGTTTTGCTAAGTAATTAATTTTTTGTATTTTGGGTTTGCTGTCGAAGAGTTAATTTGATTGAATAATATATTTTCAAACTTACCCATGGTGAAGGAACTGAACATCTTGGCCAAGGAATTAGACAGCTCTTGGTAGCTCTTGTACATCTTCAAATCCACCTTACGAAGATATGGAGCACCATCCATGCAAACCTTCACAAACGCAGCGCTGCAGCCGCTTCCCTTCTCAGTGCTCTCCTCGCTGCTGCTCTTCTGCGCCATTATGTTCTTCCGGTATGATCGCACTGGTGGCCAACCCACAACTTGTGCTCTGAATTCATTGGATTAATCATTTTATTAGTGCATGTTATAGCTACATAGAAATTATGAAGCCCTAATTGATGTCCTTGATCAAACACTACCCACAAAACCAAATGAAAGGAAAAATAAACTTAGAAAAACAAATTAATTTACAAAATTTTCGGATCAAAATCTCAAAATGAAATCAGTTCGTTGAAAAACTGCAAAAAATATACAAAAATAAAAGGACAAGCTCACTGTCGTGGCTAACTGGCCTAACTCACAACTTCTGTATATTCAAACATAGTAATTTATCAATATGTGCGAGCCTAGAAAGAATTGAGGTTAGATTATGTGTTAATATGCAGATAATCCCACTTACTTAGCTGGTGGCTTTGCTGGATATTTTGTGCAAGTAAGGAGGTTGTTTTTTTCCTTGGAAGCATTATTTTTTACTTTGTCGTTCAGATCTTCCTTGGACTGAAGGTTCAGTTTGAGATCAATGGTCTCAGAGAAGCCTCTCTTTCCAGTAGCCCTGGGAGTCTCTGGCTCAGGCACAGTGCCCCCACCAGGCAAACCAAGGCACAGCTCAGTCTCTTTGAGATTCAGATCGCGCTCGACCCCAAGCATGTTCGGCATCTTGCGGCTAACAGCAGAAGCTGCCATGGAAACTCAGCCACGGCCAAAGAGAAAAGAAACCAAGAAAATGGTTTGATATTAAAAAAAAAAACAAAGCTGTGCTTGCGCTTGTATTGGTGGTGATGTGTAGAGAGCTGCTGCTGCCTCTTTTTTTCTTGTGTCTTGTTGTGTTGTTGAGTTAGTTTTGGGCAAAGAGAGGAAGACCCCCACTCAATAATATAACTGCGTGGGACGCTTGTGTCTGTGTCTGCATGTGTATGTCATATCGAGTTTCTGATGGCCTGATGATTTGACACGTGGAGGGATTGGGAGCGTTGATGTTTTGAGGTTGTGCAGATGGTGGCAATCATTTTCCGACGGGATTAGATTTGGAGGTAGTGGCTAATATGGTTTCTATCTGCTGTTGTTGATCCTTCAAGCTAGCTAGCTGTTTGTAGCTCTCAGAGTCAACCATCACATGCAACGCAAGGCAGCGGTCAGATGATTCACTTAAAATTAGAATAAAACTATTTCAATGATATTAAGAGTTACCAAATTAGAGATTTTGTTTTGATTTCTCTAGCATTAACCGTGATCTTCGTAGTGATAGAATTTGTATGTAGGACCTACTTATTTGAATGCGTTCCATAGTGCAAGAGGTGTGGTTATTAAATAGTTCGTATTTTCAATCCTTTCAATATCCATCAAATGTCACTAGAGGTAAGATTTATCGACATTGTCCTTTGGGAACTGTATGTTAGCACTCTAAAAAAGTCAGCATGTACATTCTATAAATATAATGAAGAAATTGAACCGTGAAAAGTGCATAATGACTTTCGATGCTAACACTCTAAAAAAGTCAGCAAGTACATTTTATAAATATAATGAAGAAATTGAATTGTGAAAAGTGCATAATAACTTTCGTAGAATGTCAATAACAGTTCCCTTATCTTTTCTTTTGCATAACTATTAATCCTTTTTTATTTTTTAATATGTTCATAATTGAAGGATTCTTGGTTATTACAATATTTGACGATTTATTATCAACTAACTTCAAGTTTATAGCTTTTCTCTTCTTCTTTTTTTTTGTACGTTCATAATTGAAGGATTATTGATTATGACAATATTCGACGATTTATTACCAACTAACTTTAAGTTTAGTAGCGTTTCTCTTCTCAAATGTTCAGAAAAGTTCTAAGTTGAACTCCCAATAATAGTTATTCCAAATTTACAAATACAGTCAAGGTTTTAGGCCGACCAAAAAAAAGAGAAGAGAGCTGTTCTGAATTTTGTTGTGTGACGTTAGTTAATTAAATTGATTTGTCAAGAGCTAATTATGCACCAACCAAGGCACCGCGCTAGGTTTGTGCATATCTTGCTTTACTATATATCTTAATTTCATGTGAGTGCACATGCCATCCCACTACGTGTGGCAGTGCTACGCCAGCTACCTTGATTGGTTTTTTCAAGTTAGGAAATTTAGGCCCAAAAGGAAGAAGAATAGAAAATAAAAATTTTAGAAATAAAATTAATTAGTGTTGTCTGAAATCCGGGTTCATGTTGGAACATGATTACAAGTTTAATTTGAGTAACATATAGTATATAGATTATGATCAATCTCCTATGGAATGAAATGTTCGACCCGACCAAGAAACAGAAAATAAAATTTTTGGTCCAAGTCGCATTATATGCGTATTACTCTTTACGAAACTCACCAAACATTTATGTACGTCTATTATTCAAAACATATCTTTAAAATATACAGTGCGAAATTCGCCCATCATATAACAGTTTAAAATTATTTAGGTGTATTAATCGTGTTAAATACATTTTATGTGTATATTCCGTATAATTGAGAAGTTTACATGAAATATTAGTATTTTTAAAAGATATATATATATAAACTTATATAAGACGCATATTATACGCGAATTTACTAACCAGGATTTAATCCATGGGGCTGCCATGTATATTTTAGCAGGATTTAATCCATAGAGATGTATAATTCATTTGGATGTTCGGACGTTATTATCATGCGAACGCCATGTATTTTCTACTACCTCTCCCTGCTTTCTTGCCTATTTACAATGACATTCACATGATAATAAAGTGCAAACATCCATATGAGAAAATAATTTTTTCTTATGCGGACATCTGGACATTAATACCTTGCGGATGTCATGTGTTTTTTACTATCTCTTCCTACTTTCCTCCCTGTTTACAATAGCGTCCGCACGGTAATAACGTGTGGACGTCCAAATGAGAGAAGAGCATATATATACAGATTTTCTCTTATGCGGACGTCCTAATGTTGTTATTGTGTAGACGTCATGCATTTTCTACTTCCCATTCTTGCTTTCTTTTTTATTTACAATGCTGTCGCACGATAATACCATGCAGACGTTCATATAGGAGAAAATCTCTGTATATATAATAAATTAATAATTGTAGCAAATGATGTATATAAAAACGTATTTCTTACATTACCAATGCACGTTTCTTTCACCCTGCCCTTTCCTTTTCTATAAATTTAATTAGTCAGTTGATAGTCGGGCGAAGCATATCATCACCACGACTAAGCCATTTGTAATCCTGTCTATAACTACATGTGTAAATAGTTTATAACAACACCACTTTCCCAGGAACCTACCAATATGCATAATAGCACATGAACGAATAAGTCATATCTTATACACTCGAAATTAAGCTAGCTACCCATAAAATGAAGCACATGATTGGTTAAATCTAAACTATATTAATACAAATTTCCAGTTCACGTGCGTAGTGAGTCTCCCTTTCACACCGCTATAGAAATTCGTCTAATTTCTTATAAATATATATATATATATATATAATATTTATAAATAACATTTTGATACATGTGTAAATATATTATTAATTTTTAATATATGTCAAATTGTGATTTACAAGTAAGGAGGAATAACGTCACAAACAGTGTATGCCTTGACTACTCATGAACATCAATCCCTAACTAGTGTTGGACATCATTTATCTTAAAAGTTTGAAGGCATGGTGATGACTTAGAGACAGGTCACATCCCCAGAGAAGGAAACATGCCTAACCCTAGCTGTGCCCTTGCCCTGTCAACGTCTTCCCAACCCCATTCTGGGTTGTTTCTAACCTACTGGTATATCTTAATTATCTCACTGTCTGATGATCAGGCCATATCCTGGCCACGAATTCTTGGAACAGTGCCCCAAAGGAAAAACACACCCTCTCCTCCTCCTTTTGGACTTGGTGGAGTCCGAATCAGATAAGAGTACAAGAAACCAATTTTTTCCCTTGAAATCCAAAACAGGTCCTTATCCAGTAGTAAAGAAAGTGACTTCTTTCGGATTACTTTTGGCAAAATCTATTTTACAATGCACTGACCTAACCCAACAATTAATGGAGAGGTTTGGTGGTCCTGCTGCGGCTAAGCTTAAGATAGTATCAAATATCAGATCAATTCATGTTGACCATGTCTTTTTGAAAAAATAAAAAAAAAAAAAAATAGAGGGATTTTTCATACACACTATCAAGACGTCATCTAAGTTCAAATATGCTAGACCTCGTTTACCAACTCTTTTAATTATTGCTTACTTTAAAGAGATTACTTATCATTTTGACTTTATTCTTTTTGGGTAATAGGCATTAACTTCTTTTTCTTTTTGTATAGTCATTAGCTAATTAACATTATGGCAGTCAGATAACTCTTGCCCATGCATATTCATTCAAGTTTCGTTATGAGAAACAACTTAAGTAGATAATCTTCAACAATATAAACTAAGACATCAACACGACATTTAAAGTATCAAGCTCAAGATGACAACAAAATTAACACGCTAAAAATTAAAATTAAAGCATACAAAAACTGCATCAACAACTACTAGTCCATATCACTACAATTAAGCATAATCTCAATCAAAGTCCACAAAACCCAACATAACTGAAACCCCGCAACAACCAGGAACCTAAATAAACATGATCACACCACCACCTGAAGAATTGCCGTTGCGGTCACATGTATATGATAGAAAATTCTTCATATATTTAAAATAATTTCAAAATGACACCACTCAATTGCCACCTACATCCATATCATTTTAGGTTGGTAACACTCAAAAGTGTCAAGTGTTTGTTAATTAATATATAAGGTTATATAAGATACACGCGTAATGGCTTTTGAGCTTAGGCCCTAAGGCGTTTCAAAATTCGTTGCTTTAAAATCCAAAGTTGATCCGTTTTGATACTTTTGCAAAGCAGATACATGTACGAAATTAACTAATGTTTTGCATTGCGTAATAATTAATTCGATCAAAGCACTCACAGTGAGCTAGTTTATTCAGAAGATGGCCCCTACCTCCTCCCAAACAAAATGTATGAGAATCTTCTCCGCAATAATATTATTCCATATGTTGGTAGAACTTGGGACAGTGGATACCACAGTGGGGGCTGATTAGTACACTTCTTGCTCACAATTCTGAGTTTAAAAAAATAGCCTGGCAAAGTGACCAGGCTGCCTCTTTCCTTCATTATCATCATTCTTCTAACTTACGCGGTTTGAATAAAACTATATAATCAAATCATCAAACTTGCATAAAATATGTAACTGATATTAAGGAGGATACCGAATCTGTTAGTGGGTGACTAGAGAATGAATAAATCTTTTCGGTTAGGTTCCCTAAAAAGTTATCTTCCTTATTGTTTTCTGTAGTATAGAAATCTTTTAAAGTGATTTCAAGTTATACATGCATTGATTAATTGTGTGAGGTTTGTAGCCCTATATCAATAAGTTTATCATCTCAAGTGGTTTACAAACACCATGAGACATACCTATATATGTAATGCATCAACGATCATGTACACAAGCACGGATTCAGGATTCAAAAAAGGAGGAGCTTTACTTTTAAACCAATCAAGCACAAAGTTTTGTCTGAATTTCGGTGGAATCCCCTTTGTTTTTATTTATTAAGTACTTTTATTGTATTTGCATATTCAATTATATTCTCAAGAACAATATACTTCCCAAATTCACAAATATGGTA